CCATTTTTCTCCTTTATATTACCCCCCCAAAAAAAGGGCTGCAGATCAAAGACAATGCCCTTTCCAGGTCACCTCTGGAAAAGTGAAAAAACCTGAGGTATCCCCACACTTCTCTGAAAACAGAAATTTCTCAGCAAAGCCTCTCACTCACATAATCCACCTTAAACCACTGATTTCCTTCAAAAGAAATATCCATAACATATCCATACCATGAACCAGAGCAGCAGTTCTGACTAAGGCAAATCATTTCCAAATTTCACACACCCAGGTACAGACAAAAACACTGGGAGTGGTGGTAAATTCCAGCAGCAAAATAAAAATATCGAGTTTGGAAAGGACAAAAGTGCAATAGCAGCAGTTTGGGAACTAAATGTCACCCACTCCTGAAAAGGCCACAGCAAGACAAGCAGCATGAACTTAAAAATTTAAATAACCTCCCTGCCTGCTGCTCTAATGGAAATAACAAATTAATGCCAATTTCTGAGTTTTAGTTTTATATAAATAGCATCAGAGCAGCTTAACTGCCAGAGGGACACACAAAAAAACAGAGATACAAAACCTATAACCAGAAATAAAAATAACAAAGAGTTAAAAAAAAAAAAAGTTCTTCCCTGCTGCTGTCCTCCCTTCTGGGAATTAATAAGGTTGAATAATCAAAAACCTTCAGTTATTTACACAGAATACAGAAATAATTGTAATTCTTAAGTCTACATTGTACTGGACTATCAATTTGGGATTTAAAAGCATTAAACTTTCACTACCAATTATCAAAAAGCACCCTGATAATAATCCTGATTCAAAAAGGGACAACTGAGTATTCCATTTATTTAAAGTGGAGCAATCCAGTGTCCCTGCCACCAGGACTGCTCACAACTCTGCCACCTTCTGCAGCCCACCCCAAAAATTCAAAAAGTAAAAATCAAAACAGGGAAAAAAACCCCAAACAATTAAATCTCAAGAAAGCTGAGTGGAGGGGTGGAGGTGGAAGAAAAGGGAATAAACTGAATTTTTTACCTGATAGCTTCTCAAAACAGGGAGGGAAGGGGGAATTTTTTTTTTCTCTCTAATTCCAAACCAAAACCACCTCTTTGGCTTAAGTGTGACCCAAAACCTCAATTCTGCTTTCCCTGAAGTCAGTAAAATGTGAATACAATTAGTCCCTAAAGCCACAAGCATTACACTTGTGCTTATTCACACCAAAAATTCAGTGCAAGACTTGCAGAATTTGTACCTTGCTGCCAAAGTGAACACGAGGCAGTGAAAATTATGTTCTGACAGAGCTGCTGCAACTCCAGGTGTTGTTTTACAAAATAAAGTGAAGGTTTTTCCCTTTAAAATGCAAAAGGTTTTGTAATAAAATAACAGAAGTGGGGCATTCTGAAATTAGGAATTGAAGACACAACTCATTCTAGGTGTGACGCTGTGCATAACAAACTCCTTTAAAGAAAAGGGCACTAAAAAAATGATTAAAACTTATTTTTGTCAATAAAAACTTATTTTTGCTTGAAGACCTGGAGGTTTTGTGAAGCAAACTGAGCGAGGCCAAGTGAAACAGGAGCAGCATTTGCAGGACCTGACCCTGGCAAATGATCCAGGGGGACATCCCAGAGGCACAGAGCTCCTCAAGGAACCCAAACCTCATCAGCTCTGAGTGCAATTAACATAATTAACAACTGTGTGCTGATTGCAGTCACGTGTAACCCTTTAAAACATATTTCTAAACTGGATTTGGAACCAGAAGTGACCACACAGCTTCTTAACACTCTGGAGAAATGAGATTGTTAAAGGCACGTTAATGATGAACTAATTAGGATCATTAACACAGAGCAGTACAATATGAACCAATCAAACCCTAAATATTCACTACAAAACAACCCTGGCTGTGTAAACAGAAAAAAACCCAAGATCCAGACTCTCAAATCCTGATTTTCTGTCAGCACAGCAATGCTAAATTAATTTTAATTTGGCTAATTAAACCCCCAATCACCCACAAGCTGAAATCCTGCAAACTCCACTTTTAAGCTGTAGAGCACTATCAGTTTCACAAATGCAGATTGAACCTTCTGGAATTAGTTTGTGCAAATAAATTCCACATACACAGAGAGAAAACACACTAAAATAACTCTGGTGCCTGTTTTTTAGGCTAAGGTTTAAAATAATCTTTTATGTGGAATTTTATGTGTAATTAATAATTTTGGAATTTTATGTGAATTAATAATTTTTAAGTGGAATTCACTTTCTTTAGGGGGAAAAAAACATAATTTTGCTATAGTAATTATCTGTTTTCTATCTACATTTGCTTTTAAATTTTACTCAGTGGATTACAGTGAGGCCTGGGTAAACTTCAGCTACAAATTCCCACGTCTCAATGGAGTTAAGGATGGCACAACTGAGACAAAATCTGCTCTAGAAACATCCACGGATCCACAACTACACAACTGCATTTGGAACAATTTTGCAAGTACAGATATATATGTGAACAGCTCTATAAGTACCCACAAAAATGTCAAGTTTGACACTAAACACCACACAACATAAAAATCCTCACTTTTGTCCTTCCAGTTTTGCTTAAATCCCCAACTTAATTCACTTCTAACCCAAGAACTGCTCTCCAAAGCTGATCATTAATATCCTGATACTCAAGAACCTTAATTATTAGTACATGTTAGGAGATTGTGTAACAGTAAGACAGTTGTTAAAGCATTCAAATATTCCTAAATGCCCTAAGATCACACCTTGAATTAATTATTCTTTACTAGTTTTCACCCTGAACGACCACACTCTGATTGTCTAAGCCACACAATGGAGATTAATTAAAAGCAATTAAATATATTAAACCTTCCACACCAAAAAAATAACCAGTGAAAGAGCTTTGGTAACCTAGTAAATAATTAGCTTTGTGTAAATATTTTGCAAACATCCCTTTCCCAAAAAATCCCTATATACCACGTGTATATTTATATAATAATATACAGAGTTCCTGAGTAAATCATTAAATACGAATATTCGGAAAATTTGGCAAAATATTTAACTTCATATTACTAAAATAGATTTTTCAATGAACATTCAATGAAGACATTAAAATAAATATGGAATGTGTCTGAAAAACATTATAGTACCATGAACATATATTAATAACAAATAATAGTTTTTTATAATTAAGTGCATACTATGTTATATTGTTACTGGTTTTAAACCCACTGAAGAATCAATACATCTAATTTCTAATCCTGAGAAAGTTTTCTGTCACCTGCTAACGTGCATTTCCACGCAGGTCACACTGCAAAGCTACAAAAATCCACTTTTTTAGTGGAAAAACCAAAGTGGACAATTCTATGGAAAAGCTCAGCTCACACTGGCTTTGCTGGAAACTGAACTGGGAGCACAAAACTCTCTCAAAATCAGCACTGAACACTGATTATTCTGGTCAAACAGAGACAACCTGTCCCAAAAAACACCACCACAGCAGCATGGATTGCTCCTGACACAGTGATGGGGGCAAACTACTCAGTGATCACTTTGGCTCTGAGAAGAACTACACATGGTGCAAAAAATAAAAATAAAACAAACCCTGAAGGACTATTGAGTACCCTCAAATATCCTAAATGGTCTCATTAACCAAAAAAAAAAGAGAATTAAGTTCTAGCAGACTCTGGTTGCTCAGGTCCTGGTGGACTCAGAGCTTTGGGTAAGCACAGGAGGGAAGCTCAGCTCTCGTTCAGCTCCTCTGAACATTAAAATCCTCAGCAGCAATGCTGAAACTGCAGCAACACCACCACAAGCCGTGTCTCACCACACCAGAATCACAGTGCCACAACTGCAGCACTGACCAGGCACCTTAATTAATCCTTTTTTTTTAATTAACCTCTTCCTGACACCTATGAAATCCACCCTCGCAGCGCTGGGCAGGACCTGAGCCCTTCCCTCCCCATCCTCGGCTTTCCGTTTATTATCGGCGATTATTCCAAAATCTTCCTCGTTTCCTCAGCTTTTCCACTTCCTCTGCTTTCCTGCTCCACGTTGCTTTTCCCCTGGCTGCTTGTGCTTGAGGAACAAAGCTCCTGCAGGAGAAGGTGCTGATTTTCGGGTGCAGCAGGAGGGGATTTTGGCAGCGCCAGCTGCAGCGCGCACCAGAGCGCGGTGCGAGCGCGGCGCGTGGCACCAGCCAGGGCTCGCAGGGCAGCTGCCAGGGCCAGCACACCTGCAACAACAGCAAAAACCACATCACGGTGTTAGAAATGAAAAAATAAAATATTTATTTGCAATTAAATTCTATCTAGCTAGCCACAAGGAAAGAACAGCCGAGCCCGGGGTCGGCCCTGGGTGTGCAACAAGGAGTCAGCCTCAGCAGAGGTTTTCCTCCATGCCCACACACCTCCATCCTGACACAAGTGGTTTTTATAGGGAAAATTCCACCTGAGGCCAAGATTTCAGCAATTGGTCTTTTCTTCTATTCAGAGTCCATATGTTAATAAGATTTTCAGTGTCCGGAGTTGTTGAATCTTGTGATGAAGTTTACAGGAACGCTGCATTCACATGGATCTGCCCGAGGATTTCCATGAGATCCATCTCGGGTCGTTCCCCCCGTATCTCTCCAGCCCAGCCACATCCTTTTACCTGTAAATCAGGTTCTAATATACACCAGGTTTCGCCTGCAAGGGTGGGGGGGACTCCTAATACAAACGTGTATACTCTAACAAATATTCAATATCACATATATCATATTAGAAATGGCGCAAATTATATCTATTATACACAACTGCACAAGCCTGGAAACGTTACTGCCAGGTTTTGGCTTCTTTTTCTGCCTCTGTGAGGGCTGGGATTGAAGGCACTCAGGACCATAGTTCGCATTTAGAATTAGATGTTCATTATTTCTTTCATTATTTCTTATCAATGTTACAGTCTCACAGCAGTGAGTTCTGCAGTCCTTCATTAACAAGGCACAAAATGGCTAACTACCTCTTGTTACAAGGTCTTTTAAAGGCTAAACTGTCCAATTAAGAAATGACACCTGAATTATTTTTACCTTTAACCCAATAACTGATCCCTCGGAGTCCGCAATGCAGACTTTTATATCCAATTACAAAACATCACCCAAACCCATGGAGAAGAAGGGGAAGAAGGAGCAGCACCCTCCACCCCAAAACCTCCACCTTGCTTTATATCTATTCCTGTATTCTAAACCCTCAAACTCTGAGTTTCCCACCCTGTGATATCACACACTTCTATTCAAACTCCACCTCCACAATCCCAGTTCTGCCATTCCATTTTGGAAGCATCTCCACAGCCTCAGGTCAATGCAGTGTTCTCCTGGGGGTCAGTGCCTGGCAGCACAGAAAGTCTAAAACTCCCAGCATCCAGAACTCCAATACATTTTTTTTTTTTTTTTATTAAATAAATTTATCCAACTCACAGCCCTGAGCAAGCTGTGCTCAAGGAGCAGCTGAGCTGCACCAGTAACAACAGCTGCAACACCTCACATGAACTGTCAGTGCAAAAAGGATCCAAAATGCTGAAAAAGGCTCCAAAATGCTGGTGGATACTGGGCAAACTGGTCTGCTGAGGCTGCAGGCAGTTTTTTTGATTTTGCAGGAAGAAGGGAACATTTATTTTTGTATGGGTGAGTAAAGGCACAAAGATCTGGTCAAATACAGAAATGAAATCTTAAAGCAGCTCCACAGGGGATTCGTTTGCAACTACAAATCCTGCAAGGCCAGGGATTGCAAACCTGCCCATTTCCAACCAAAACTGCTAATACTGCAACCTTTCAGACAGAAATGTTGATGAAATCTGGGACTAAGTGGACCAAGCTGCTCCTGCACTCCTCTGGAGGGGGTCTCACCAAAACCTGTGACTCAACAGGAGGGACCAGGACCTGCTGAAGCCATAACTCATTGCAACAGATGACAGAGCTGTTATTTACAGTATTGGCAATATTTATTTAGATGCTGTACTGGCATTAAATCTAACCATAATCATCCACTTAACACCTGTGTCCTACTTCTCCAGCCTGGCCAAGAACCTTCCTTCTCCAACTCCTGACTCACACTTGGAGTTAAAAGTCACACCAAAGATTCAGGAGTTATTTTAAAAGCCAATTTGCAGACAGAGCTATTGTTTTAAGGGCATGACATTTTAGATTAATTTTATATTTTAATTTTTTAACCTGAATTGGAAAAGCAAAACATTTTGATTCTCTTTCCAGTTTATCTTTCCCTCACAAGAAGAGCTATTCCACAGCCAAAGGAAACTCACTGTCCACTTCAGCACTAAGGAGTGAATTCCTCTTTTGTTCTGAGACACAGATAGTTTCTGAAGAAAAAAAATATATGATCTTTAACCCCAAACCATAAATTGCCACATTTACTGCTGCTCCGGGTTATTCTGGCTTTACTTCAACAGAATTTGGGGAACATGGAATGTCATTCCTGGTGGATTTGTGATTTAGGTAAGGCAAACAATTGTTTTGCACAACACTGGCAATTTTATTATTATTTTATAAGCCAAAGAGAAAAGAAAGTTTAGCCATACCGGGAAATAATGAGTGTATTTTAAAAATGAATGCATTTTTGCTTTTAGGACAACCACTTATGGTTATATAATGTCACCGAGGAGCTCTTACAGTTGCCTCCTAATCAAGAGGAAAAAATAGCTATTTTTTAAAATAGTAACAGCAAAACAAAAGAAAGAAACCAAACAAACCCAATTTAAAGTCTTAAAAAGCAACAAGAGCCTATATGCAAACCTCCTTTTGCTGAAGTGACAGCAATTGCAGCATATTGCAATTTTACATTTTTAAGAGGAACACACAATTAAACCCCCAAAAAAGCTCTGAGGGCTGCAGGAAGAGGCAGCATTACCTTTTTTGTTGTTGTAGCGTGGCCCCCCATGGCTCTGGGGGTTGGCAGCATTCCCAATCGCATCGTTCCGCCGTGCCTGGGTCACCTGGATGGCTTCCAGGTGGAGCTCCAAGGCCCTGGAGATGTTCCTGTGCAGGGGAGCACCACAAAGCCTCTCCATTCTTCCTATCAGTGCGAGCACCTGGCAGAAAATTCAAGTTATTGTTTTGTGTCCTTGCTTTCTGCACCACTGCAACTTTTCTGCTCTTACACTTTGCAGCTGCAGGTAGCTCTAAGTTCTCTGCTCTTTCTGTTTCTGAGGCCTCACAGCTTTCTGAAAGTCTTCTTAGCTTTACTATTTCCCACAATCCCCCCTCTCTCCCAAATTTAGTAAATACCCTCACAAAGATCAAATAGCAACAGCACATCCCTTCATTATACAGAACCTTCTCAGCATATAAAAGAAAAGATGTACTGTCCCAGTGGGGAGAAAAACTAGAATCACAGAAAAATGAGGTTGGAAGAGACCTCTAAGATCATCAAGTCCAACCTATGCCCTAACACCACAACCAGACTATAGCACCAAGTGCCATGTCCAGTCTTTTTTTAAACATATCCAGAGATGGTGATACAGATGGTGAAGCAGATCTTTAATAGAGACCATGTCAAAACCCACCATTCTAAAGCTACCCCAGAAAATTAATAACCCTATTTAAAATAATCAATAACGTTTATCAAAGGAAAACCTAAGTACCCTTGAAAATATAGTAAAAAACAATCACAAAAAATCACATCACACCCACAAAGAGCCTTGTATTCACCATCCACAAAAAGACTTCTATCTCCTAGAGATTACTTCATAACCTAAAGAAAATCAATAAAGGAATCAAAAACATGACACCCCTCCAACCTAGACTCTCCTCTCTACCAATAATTCCAAGAAGCTAACCTCTCATTATCATCAATTTAAAATGATAACATACCACTCCATCCAAAAAAAAAAAAGTTGCTCTGATTCTTAGGATTTTCTAAAGCTTTCTGAGTTTATATTCTGTTAGAGAACTTTCTGTAAACAACATATTGTTTTGCATTCCTTCATAGAGGGGGAGAAATTTGATGTACTGGTAGTTTGTCCAATGTCATTGGAGAGGTGGCACATTCACCCTCCAATATACTTTTTATTTATACATTTATACTTTGGAATATTAATATATTAACATATATTAATAACTTTGGAATGAAATTAATAACTTTGGAATATTAATATATTAACATTTATACTTTGGAAAAGTATAAATGCTGGAGTACAAAAATAAACTTCCTCTTTTTCGTCTTTGCAATAGCAGCGGCTCGCGTCGCGCTTTCACGTGCCCTATAGCGACAAAAAAACCACCCCAGAGTTCACCTCTTCAGTTCCAGCTACCCAAGAGAACCAGGACAAAGCACCAAACCCGCTGAGGAGTGATGAACCAACAGACAAATCCCAGAGGAGTGCAGAATTGCAGCCCCGTGGGCGTACCCGGGCGCGCTCGCGGCGCTGGTCGGCGATCAGGCGATCCACACAGGCCGGGCGCGCGGGGAGCCGCGACACGGGGCTGGAGATGTGCTGCCCTGGGAAGTGCCTCGCGAGGTCGGCCTCAGCCTGCAGGGGAAAGAGCTTGTCAGCGAGGTGGCTGAAATCGGTACAATCTGGTTCTGGCGCTGTTTGCAATTTTCAGGTGGATCGGGAGTGAGCGCACAATCAACTTCAGTGCGTTGACAGAAAAACATTCCCCAGAATCATAGGATCCCAGAATGGTTTGGGTTGGAAGGTGTGGGTCTCAAATTCAGTCAAAGAGAGAAACAGAGTTTCTAGCCAGGCAGAAGCCTGGGAAAGAGTTGGAAAAAATGTAAATAATTCTTTATCTCTCTTGCTGTTCACATTGTTTATAGTTAAGTTGTATCACTGTGCGTCAAGCACTCTGCACCAGTGGTGTGCGTTGTTTTCACTTCAGGACCAATGGAGTTGGTCCTCACGAAGCTCTGTATAAAAGAGCGGGGTATTTTGAATAAATTGGAGTTTTACTCTCAGAACCTTATGAGTCAGAGTCTTCTCATTCCCGTCCTGCCTCGACAGCGACAGGAACGGAACTCAAAGCTCATTTTATTCCATCCCCTGCCATGAACACCTTCCACCAACCCAGGTTGCTCCAAGCCCCAGTGTCCAACCTGGCCTTGGGCACTGCCAGGGATCCAGGGGCAGCCACAGCTGCTCTGGGCACCCTGTGCCAGGACCTGCCCACCCTCACAGGGAACAAATCCTTCCTTTTTCCGTCAGGAAGAAGCTAAACCTCAGATGGTTTAATTCCAAACTGCCTGGACATGGATTTGCAACAGTCTGATTTGGGTTGGGAAAGGACCTGGAACTTCCAGGTTGCTCCAAGCCCCATCCAACCTGGCCCTGGACACTTCCAGGGATCCAGGGGCAGCCACAGCTGTTCTGGGCAACCTGTGCCAGGGTCTCACCACCCCCACAGCAAAAATTTCTTCCCAAATCTAACCTAACCCTGCCCTCTTTTGGTTTGAAGTCATTCCCCTTGACCTACCACTACATGCCCTTGTCAAAAGTCCCTCTCCAGCTTCCTTGCAGGAATATTTCTCTAATTCAGCTCTCCCTCAGAGTTCAAGACCTCTCACTGTTTCTCTCCAATGTCACACATTATGACTGTTTAAAACAAGAACCAGGTGATAGCAGCAGCATAAATCACATCTCAAGTTCATCAGGATGAAACCACATTTCACAAAAACTGATATCGGCTCTTTAACCCAAAAGATATTTTTCTTTAACAGAGAAAATCTTTAACACAACAGCCAAACCTCCACTGAGAAAGAGAGGCTTAGCCAGGGTCTAACACAGACAGTGAGTAAACACCACAAACCTATTTCTGGGTAGGAAATTCTTACACTTGAGTAGAAAAGACACAGCTAGCAGTAGATTGCTTATCTCATTCCTCCTCCAGGGTACCATGGATGTAGGAGACAGGGGTCACGAGCTGCAGTACAGTTCAAGGCAAGTCCACATTCACACTGTGCATATTTGTACTGAAAACATGTGGTGAAGTCCTTCTCTTTTTGCTTTACTTCCACATTATCAAGTCCCTGGCCTGGCCTAACATGGATTACAAGAGCTGACTCCACCTCTACTCATCATCTGAGGAGCCTGAAAGTCATCCAGAAAAAAAATGGATGGAGAAAAGGTCATGGATTCATATAACGACACCAGGTAATTAATTGCAGCTAATAAACAATTAACTAAACTATGTGCACATTTAATACTGCAGACAATTCCTAACTTGTGGAAATGCTTTAAATGTGAGATCCCTGGAAAAGTGGGGTTTATGAAAGGAGACAGGTAAGCTGTGACCCCAAAGCAGGCTTCAGAGAGCTGAGTGATTAGACAAGGTAGAGAGAATTAAATCAAATTCCAGGGGGAGCTCCTCTCTCCTTGCAGTCATCCCCTCCTGAGGAATGTGGCTTGGCTGCAGGAATGGGAGTCAGGCTATGACTGAGAGCAGTTTCTATTCTGTAAGCACAAAACACCCTGAGAAACCCAGAGCAGCTCACTGGGATAAAACTAAAACACTTGGAATGGACCAGAACAAGGGGACAATTAAGCCCCTTTGATTAATAAGCATGAGGACAAACAACCCTCCTTTCATGATGAAATAAAAAGTAGGAGACAAAAACGATGACTTGGTCCTTGCAAATGACTTAAGTGTCCCAAATCCTGCCTGAGAAGAGGAAACAAACAGTGGAGCAAGAATCATCCCCTTTCTCACTTCCAGAGCATTCCTGGAAGGCCAGGCAGGCAGAGAGAAGTCTTGCTTAAAGGCATCCATGAGAGAACAACACAGGCACCTCCATTCACAATTCCAAATGTCCATTAGCAGGGCCCCACAGCTGATGATGGGAAGAAAAAGGTCTTTTCCAGGTCTACTTTGCTCACACACCTTTATCCAGAGACCAGGAGGCTTCTCCCATGTGGAAGTCACCAAGTACCCAGTGCATAATTAGAACCAGGAATTACGGGCAATTTATTTTCTGAGACCTATTCAGGGATTTGACTCCTCTTGGGAAAGCTCTTCCTGCTTCTTTAGAGCACAGAGCTTTCATTCCCAAGTGCAATACCCTCGTTATCAGTGTGATAATGCCAACAGTTCTGGGAGTGAGTCTGAAGCAGGAAAGTGACCGCAGTGAGAAGAGCAAAAACTGAAATTTTCTTTGGGAGCAAGAAAAATATTGTAGGTTTTCTCTGCAGATGGTGCCCAGGATTAGTTATTTCATTTTCTTTTTTACTACAGCCAGAGATTTATTACTGGAAGAAAAAAAAAAATAAAACAGAAGAGAAAGCTGTGACTGCAAAAACCCAAACCAAACCTAACAACATCCCAAAACAAAATTAAAAAAAAAAAAAAAAAGACCAAAATACCCCAACAAACCAAAGAAGAAACACCATAAAATCTTTCTCTCTTAAAACCAGCCAAGTCTTTATCAGGAATCATCACCAGCTGTGTTTTACCTTCTTCCTCTCCTTCTCCAAAGCTCCCCACTGCTCGCAGCACTCCTCCAGCCGGACGCTGAGCTCGCTGGCGGGGCCACTGCGGCTCCTGGGGGCTCTGCACTTGTTAAATGGGGCTGGAAAGGCAAAGCAGGACGCAGGGATTTCTCCAGGGAAGAGATCACTCACAAAGGGACCCAAGGGCTTGAAGTCGTCGCAGTGAAAACGATCAACAAGGTCTGGGCGCGGAAACGGCGGCGGAGGGAAATTGAAAGGATGTGCTGATGAAAACAGATGGTGATTGAATGGAGGGAAGCTGGGATTTTGCTTAAAATCAGGCACGAAGGGGAAAGAAGGGAGCGGAGAAGGAGTGATGAGATCTGAGGAGCTGCCACCGTTCTGCTCGTGCTGTGTCGGGAACACGCCCAAGGGCTGGCGGCTCGGGGCCCTAGATCCCAAATGAGGGCTCCAATTCCTTCCACCTCTTCTGTCGTCTTTACTGCCACTCTCCTGGCTCTGCCTTTTGGGGAACCTCTGGCATTTCTCAGCAGGGTCTTCCCCTGCAGCTTTCTGCTGCACGAGCCAGTCGGGTGAAAAACGAACAGGGATTTTGTGGCACCGCTCCTCCTTGATCACTCCAGCATCCTCCTGGGATCTTCTCATCTGCTTCTGGCTCTCTGAGATGAAATGAGGAACCCCCAAGTGACTGGAAACTTCATTTGATGTTTGTGGCCTCTCATCTTTCCTGGCAGGGAGGGCAGGAAGGAGCTGGGAGTAGTAGGAGGGCAGCGTGAAAGGCTGGTGGGTGGGAGAGCCCCCAGACATGCTGGAAACCCCTGATGAGGACTGGGGGCTTGTTGCCATTTGTTTTCCACCTGGAATTTCAGATGCAGCTGCCAGACTGTTCCCATCCAGCCATGCACACCCCTGGTATGAGGAGTAATTCCCATTTTGCACAGATAAATCACATTCAGCTGCTTGAGGAGAGCTTCCCTTAGGTGCCATATTCACTTCACACTCATTATTATTATTATTATTAAAAGCATCTCCTAAAGTAAAGCCACAATGGCCATTTTGCACATGGCTTTCCTGGGGTTTTCTGCCTGCTCCTCCAGAAAAAGTATTTTCCTTAGGGGGTGGATTGAAAAAATGAAGGGATGGATGGACAGGTGACTGCAGTTTGTGGGCAGCTGGGAAGTCCACATATCTCTTAGAGGACACGTGGCTGTCCTGGTGTACTTTATCCCAAGAGTTATCACCAGGCTGATTGGAAAGATCAGGGGAATACTGAGTTTGCCCTTGAGCATAATTTTTCACAGCTTTTCCTCTTCTCCAAAACCCCTTCTCAACGCTGGGGCTCTCTTCCAACCCGCTCTGAGGAGAAAAAGGCCTAAAATTGGACCCATTTTTTTCGTAGCCTCCATTTAACCTCCCGTGGTAGTAAGAGCACGAATGCTGGTTCCAGCCCCCATTTGGGAAGGAAAACCCTTCCTGGGGAGCTGTGGCTTGCAAAGGGGAATTTTCGGGGTTCCTCGGGGCATTGCTGGGGTGAGCACGGGGAGAGAGCCAAGACTCGAGGAGCTGCAGGTCTCCCAACCCTCTGTGCAGCATCTCCACCTCAGGAGGCTCCTGCAGGGGCTTCTGATGGCAGCTGGAGCCCAGCAGGTTGGGAAAATCCTTGTTTTGGACACAGTGCTGAGCTGGCAGCCCTGGGAACTCCCCGGTGCTGCCCAGATCAGGTGCCCACACAGGGGGAAAGAATCTTGCTGGAGAATTCCTGTAACAGAGTGAAACCAACCTCCCGTCAGCATCTAAAACCTTTCTTACTTTAACATAATTCACAAACATCATGCTAATTCCCCAGAGTTACATTATTGACAAACCATGCACAGCTCTCCTCAAAAACAGGAGGAATATTCCCATGGCAGCTGAGCAAATGCTCTGTAAAATCTCATCACCCCACATTCTTCATTCTGCACTTTCAGAAATGCAGAGTTTATTTGGATTTGTTAAATATCTCAGATTCCACTGTATTCAGTCAACTCCCTACTGGTTAAAATTACTATCTTTTTTTTTCCTCCCCAAATGCTGTAAAGCTGATGAAAAATTTTTAAAAATTTGCATTTTTAATTTAATTGTTGTTTCTTTTGCTTGTTTGTTTGTTTTACTGACAAATGAAGTAAAGACACTTCCACATTTTAAGGGGATTTAAAAGGCTGCCATTACTCAACTCTGAAATAATTAAAAATGTGTATCATATCTGTGTGACAATGGGCATAAAAGCCAGCACAGAAATTAGAAGAACCCTCAGAACAAACTTACCAATCTGTAGCTGGCTCTGGCTTGTTTGGCTCCTCTAAAATGCTCGACACCAACCCAAACACATCAGGGCCACTGCCAGTGTAAGAAAGATTTATTGGTGCCCTGAAGAAAATAAAAAAAAAAAAAACAAAAAAACAAAGTAAAAGTTTTAAATAAGTCATTTTCTCCTAAATAAAACAGACAAAAAGAAGATCAAACCTTTATTTTAGCCGCATTTTTTAGTTGTTGTGAATTTAATGTATCCTCAGCATCCCTCTACAGAAATCCCTTCCTGCATTTGTGAATTCTAGAGCCCAAATGAAGCAGAATTATTTTCCTTCTTGCTTCACCAGAGACTTTCCAAGCAGCAAAAATTTTCCTCTCTTTCCAAGAAACAAAACTGTTTAATGGGCAAACCTTGACTGTCTTGTTTAGAGCATAACTAGGATCAATATTCTCAAAGGCTGGAGCACCCTAATTTCCCTACTGCCAAATAATTCAAAACATATTATGTTAATATCAACAAAAAATAACGTATATGTAAGTTATATATATCTAAGTTGAACAACTCTTTAATCCCCTTTTGGACATGTCAAAATTTTAATCACTATTTCTGGTGAACACCCAAGGTTTTCAACTATTTGTAAGCAAACCCAACTTTTTACTTCAGGTGCAGAATTAGATTTTTATGGAGTTGTTTGTAATGACTGCTGACTCTTCCTCACAAGTTAATTATAAAGCTCTCCTTCTCTCTATCCTCAGGTTTTGCTCCAATAAAATTCCCTCCCCACCTCGATTCCTTTCAGCATCTCTGAGATTTCCTGGTCCCACCTCACCTTGGCTGCCACAAAATCGCTCACTGACTTTGCTGATTAACAGAGACCATAAAACGTGGGACAAACTCTTATAAAAATCACCTTTTTCATCTCTTGCCACTGTGAAATCAGTGAAAATCACACCCTGCTGACTTTTCAGACCTCACCCCAGTTTCACTTCTAACTCAGTCCCTGATTTACCCCGTGACTGCTCAGTTTCCTCTCTGTGGGACCTGGATTTAATTTGGGATGCACAGAAGTGCAAAGACTCTTGAAAATGCTTTGTGAATGCAGAACTGATATTTGATAATCAGATATTTTCTGTGTCTTGGTCAAATAGCAGTTTTTTCTTTTTTTTTTTTTTTTTTTTTTTTTTTAGGGAGGAATTTTGAATATCCACATGCTCAGAATGGGTGTAGACATGGATTAACCCTAATTCCGTAACTTTTTGGCTTTTTAAAGCTATTTGCAATAATCCAAAGGCTGCTTTAAGAAAATACTGTATATTTAAATTAGCAAATTGCCACCTCTTGCTTACAATTAACTCTTACAGCTGGCACCAAAGCTGTGTGATCTTTTATTCAAAAACAAACATCACTCTGACACTTCCCACTGAAACCAGCAAAAAAAATTAAGTTTTTTTTGCAATCCATTATCTTCTTTAACTGTTACCTTTTTAGCACCTTGAGAGCCAGTGGACTCCACTTTCACCCCACCTCAGATTTTGTCTTATTAAGCAAGTGATACAAAAAAATCAGTAAGGTATTAGAAATGCTCATTAAAAGAGCATTTTCTCCTCAAAAGCTGCTGTGTCAGTCTCTATCACCCAATTCCCTCCAAAAAAAGGCAATATTCTGTCATCATCACTTAGCTTTAGGATGGAAAAAAGAAAACCCACACACATCTTTTCTTCACAACCTCAGTGATAACCCCCACTGAGCAAAGACAACCTGAAAAGCCTGAAACTCTCAAAAAAAAAAAAAAAAATCCAGAATTTATTCTATAATACAAAAACCCCAGTGACCCAGAAGCCCCAAGGCCACAGCAGGGATGCTGATACCTTTGTTTTGGGCACTCCTGGAAGGCAGTTTGGGCTCCAAAATCCTCAGCACATCCTGGCCAGTCCCTGCACAGCTGGGAGGGCTCGGGGGGCGTGGGGGGACTGGGGACTGCTCCCAGTAATGGGGAGAACAACTGAGTGTCCATGGTTTGCTTCCTGCTATTCACCTGCATGGAATAGAGAAAAAAAAAATGTTTTTTAATATTAGATGTTCATCTAGTGAGCAGTAAAGGCAGCGAAGCAAAGCTTTGCTTTTGTTTCCTGAGCTAAATGAATTTTTCAGCAGCGTGTAACATAGCCATGACAAAAGGTTCAAGTCTAAATCATGCTCCCTCCCTTGCCTTAAATCAACCCAAATCTGTCTTCTAAAAATAAATATTCAAATATCAGAGCTGACTTACTGCACAGTAATAGGAATTCTCCACAGGTTTCACATTTTAGGTGTTGGAGTGGTCACAGCTCAGAACCTCCTGCTCTGTGAGACTGGGAATGCACCTGTCCCAGGCAAACACATCCCATCTGGAAAACAGGAGCCACCATCCCTGTTACACCCCAAAATCCACCAAAATATTCCAGGGAAGGAGGGAAGGGCACCTGGAAACTCCACAGAGCAAAAGGTGGGTAAAGAAAAGTAACCCAATACTGCTGCAGAAAGGAACATCACAGATAAAGTGTTTGTTCTGAGGTTATTTATGCCAAGAAAGACTGGAGCAGATGATATTTGAGGCCTCTTCCAACCTGGAATTCTCTGAATTTAATTTACTATTAATCCTTGGCCTACTGAAAGCTGTCACAGGCTTAGATCTCCATTCCTGAGTATTTTCTGAAAAGTTGTAGAAATATTCTCTAGTCATGTGTGTTCCTACCAAGAGCACGGCAGAACAACCCTGCAGTAAATATTTTTAAATAAATAATTAAAAGTTTACACTGAGAGTTTATCACCTGCTATAAACTGGTTTTGCACATCTAAACCAATCCCTATGAAATAACAGAATCAGGGGAACCAGGACCCTGTGGAGGCCACTCAAATATCCTGTAAAATTCCATATCAGCACTATCAAGAATTCCATATCACACATATCAAGAATTTAGCATCAAGCCCACAGCAATGCCCAGCCCCTGGCCCTGTCTGGGCCACCAGGAAGCAGCAGGCAAAGAGAAATTCCTGCTCCTTGGCCAGAGGATAAAATACTTGTGCACAGATTAAAAATAGGGTCTGTAACAAATGGATTGATGTTTTATTTTCAGAGCCATTAATCACTGCTGATGTGAGTTGTGCAGGACAATGTGTCTAAAGCCCAGGAGAAGAGGGACTTAATGTACCCTAGATAAGGCTTAGTGCTTCCAAAACACTGGAGCCTGTCCTTCCACCCAGAAACACACAAATTCTCCTCTGGGGTTTACATAGGAACCACTAACAAGCTGCAGGAAAAAAAAAAAAAAAAGGATGGAATCACTCAGAACATCAAAGTTAAAAATCAGTTAATTAAATGTTGCCTTTAAAAGAAAAAAAAGGTGGGGGAAAATCAAATTATAACTGCCAGTCTTCAGTAAGGCTTTTATTTTATTCCCCTGCAAACCCTGTGAAAGCCACTGGTCTTAATAAATTACCTTCAAAAACAATAAAAAACTACATCTAAAGCCCAGACAGGTCTTTTACATTAATTTTTTTTTCATTCAAATGGTGAAGGAAGAGACCAAAAAAAAAAAAACTATTTACCAAAACCATTCACTATTCCCTAAAGTCTCAAGCAGCTCTTTGTACCTAAATTCTCTTCTAAAGTTCCTTTTGAGGAGAAATACATGAGCACAACCTCATCAGTAAAATGTTAATAGCTCAGGTATAAATATATATGGAATTAAATAGCACCAAAGCGATTAGACATTGATATTTTTGTGGTATCTGTGACATGAAGAGAGATTTAGATCAGACATTGAGAGAAAGTTGTTCCCTGTCAGGGTGGGCAGGCACAGATCCCAAGAGAAGCTGTGGCTGCACATCCCTGGAAGTGTCCAAGGCCAGGCTGGAGCAGCCTGGGACAGTGGAAGGTGTCCCTGTCCATGGCAGGGATGGAATGAGATGAGCTTTAAGGTCCCTTCCAACCCAAACCATTCTGGGATTGTGTGATTCACTTTTCTCTAGCCCTTGGAAGAATCCTTTACAAAGTAATTAAATGGCAACACCAAACAAAGAGCCCCAAAAGGTCTTTGCTCCCTGCTCCCACTTAAAGTATACAGTAAGCAAAACACAAAATGCCTTTAAAAATCCCTTTGGTGGAATAAATGTCTTTTGATGTAAGAATGGTAAGGAAGGCTTGAAACAATGAGCATTAAAAGGTAAATCACCAGTCAGGACAGCATGGAAGGCTGAGATTAATCCTTCATTATGCAGGGGAAGAAATTAACTGCTGGAACCCCAAATACTGAGAATTTTGGGTTTTCTGTGCTGCCAGGCACTGACCCCCAGGAGAACACTGCATTGACCTGAGGCTGTGGAGAAGCTTCCAAAATGGAATGGCAGAACTGGGATTGTGGGGGTGGAGTTTGAATAGAAGTGTGTGATATCACAGAGTGGGAAACTCAGAGTTTAAGGGTTTAGAATACAGGAATAGATATAAATAAAGATGGAGGTTTTGGGGTGGAGGCTGCTCCTTCTTCCCCTTCTTCTCCATGGGTTTGGGTGGTTTTGTGTAATTGGATAAAAAAGTCCCCATTGCGGGCATTGGTGGTTGGTTATTGTGTTAAAAGTAAAAATAATTCAGTTGTCATTTCTTAATTGGACAGTTGATCCTTAAAAGGCCTTGCAGAGAGAGATGGGCTCCATTTTTAGTTTGTCAGAGTGAAGGGCTGCAGAACTCAGGGTTTGTGGGATTGTGACAGAGATAAGAACTGATAAACACCTGAGTCCCAACATGAAATTCCATCTCACACATTTAATCCCAGCCCTGGCAAAAAAAGAAGCAAAAGAATCAACAGACACACCCATGTTTCTCCTCATCACTGGAAGGGTTTTGGTCCCAAAGTTGTCCAGCAAAGCCCTGGAAGCAGTTCAAGACTTGAGGCTGCCATTCCGTGATGCCAGGAGCTGCTGGCAGAGCATGGGAAGCCCCTTGGGCAGCCTGGAAAGAGTTTTAGGAATTTTTATGGAGAATCCTAAATTATGCCAGGCTTATGAACATCTGGGGTACTGAAACAGAATTATTTGGGTTGGGAATAGACCTGCAACTTCCACCAGACCAGGCTGCTCCAAGCCCCATCCCGCCTGGCTTTGGGCATTTCCAGGGATCCAGGGGCAGCCACAGCTGCTCTGGGAAGCTGTGCCAGGGTCTCACCACCCTTTAGGAAGGATTTCTTCCTCTTTAGAGGAAGAGCTTCTGGCTCATATCAGATTAAGAGTCCTCTGAGAAGATATTTTATAGGCTGAAAAATAACATAATGACAGCTAAATGTTGCTTCATTGTACCATCAGAAGAAACTGCTTTCACTGACAGCAAGTCTCACCTGACAGAGCTGTTGATTTTCCAAAAAAGCATTAAAACTAGCCCAAAGCCTTTTTAGAGCCAGTTATCCTAGAGCTGCAGAGTCTCCCTGCTCCAGAGCACTGCAAGAACATCCCTGATAACAGCAACAAACAACAGCACTGCAGCATTATCACAGCCACACCGAGGGTATTCTGCTCTCATTTCTTGGCAGGGCCAACTATTTCCTGTTTATTTCTTGGGTTTTGTTTCTTGGCAGGACAAAGCAAGCACCAAAAAGCACTGTTTTGGGGCTTTTTAATGATTTTTAGTAATTCCCACCTAGGGATATCTTAATCTGTAGCACACTAGGACTGCCTGACTTATTCAGGGTGCACTGCCAGGGATTCTCTGAAACCACTGGGCAAAAAAATGAAGTAAAAAAAAAAACTGAAGAAGAAAAACCCAACAAAACTCTAAATTTCTGTTTTGAGTTTCCCAGGAAATGAACCAGCAGAAGTAAGCAGGCTACAAGGATATGCAAAAAACCAAATTCAGGGGAGAAAATAGGTCAGTTATTCAGACCTTTTAATACCAGGGATAAAACCATAAAAATGGCAGATTACTGAAGACTTCCCCCTAAATCCTAAACTCACATCATCAAAAAGATTTGTCTCGGCAACAAAAGGAAACATTCCTTTTCTGAAGAAAATTACCCAAGTCTGCCAGACCCCTCTTAGCTGGGTCAAAAGCACCTTAAAAAACCACCTAGGGGAATAAAGTGTGTGGGGGGGAATAAAGGTAAATAAAATAAATTTTAGGGGGTGTGTGGGAATAAATAAATAGAACAAAAAATACTTTAAAAATACTAGCTAAAAAACCTACCAGCTAAAAAACCTACTAGCTAAAAAACCTACCAGCTAAAAATCCTACCAGCTAAAAATCCTACCAGCTAAAAATCCTACCAGCTAAAAATGGATAAATCTATGAGGTGCTTGCTCAATATATGGGTTCTGTTGCCCAATTACAATTAAGAATATTCACAGGCTCACAGGCCATTTATTTATTTTGTTTTAACACAAGCATCTAAATACTCATTTCATACCAACTAAGATTTTTGGGTGGTTTTTGGTTTTTTGTGTGTGTCCATAGTAACTTCCAGCAGTTGTTCTCCAGGACTTTGTGGTGAGCCTCACAAAGACAAGAAGAGCTTGGGAGGATCTGCTGGATTTCCACGACCAGAGGATGACTCTGACACAACCAGGGATGCAACATTCCCTCCAGGTGCTGAGGTTTTTATGCAACGTGGTTGTTCACCATAAAACAAATGCCTCACCCAAGTTTTTATTTCTGCTGCCCTGCAAAAACTCAGTTTTGGACTCACCTGTGGCTGGCAGTGCCCAGGGGTGGCACTTGGAGCATGTCCTTGTCATCAGTACCCAGGGTCTCTCCTCTGGAGCCCGCAGCATTGTGTGCAGGCAGGAATCAAGGCTCCCAAGGACTGACTTCTCCTGGTCAGAAGCAATTAAAAAAACCAAAAAAAGCAGTTATCAGATCTGTCAAAGCTGTATTTATACACAAAACTCATTTCTAGCTCCTCCAGTCCAGCCACTCCTATCCCAAGGCCAGATGGGGAACTCCATCCTGCCAGGGAAGGGTAAGGAGAGGGAAAGTGTGATAATTCACTGGTGGGGAATTTTGGAAGGAATTGTATCATTGTTGTTGCTTTTAATGAAGGGATGGGACTATTTTTGGGCTAAGAACAATTTATTGCTCAGTTAAACATCAGTCTCAGGCTGTGAGATTTTAGAGGAGCAAGCAGTCAGCCACAGCTCAAAGTAATCACCAGTTCTTTGTTAAAAGAGAATACAGAACTTTATAAACCAATGGACAGTTGCCACAGGGTTTATTTTGCTTTTCTAACCTATCACCTTTACTTATTCTGCTGCACTGTGGATATTTTCATCCCATGGGCTTCTGTCTCACATGCACAAATACACTGCTGTTATAACTCCTAAACTCTTAATTTACTCTGTACAACCAATTACTACATTATAAACACTTCACCATGTTATTAATACAGTTTCTCACTTGAGGCATATTTTTACAACTACAGAAACATAAGTTTATTGGTTTTCTGCCTAATATTTTTTGTATTGTTTTTGTATTATTTTTCTGCTTAATACTTTAGTATTGTATTTTTACATCAATCCAAGCTTCTTCCAAAGCTACAAATCAAATCCTTCAGTGCCTGTAGGAGTTTCTGTTTTTCCAATTCCCACAGAATTTGAGACAGGACTTTTGAATTGTTTTTGATGATGTGGTTTGATTTTTCTTATGGGAAGGGTGAGTTTGGTTTACTTTTACTGTATGGTTTAGAAGGTTACAAGACTCTTAAGCTACCAAACTTTTTAAGGGGTTACTGACTAATGAAACACTGCTAACAAGGATATTTATGGTTTTTATTTAAATGTGTGAATGCATGAAATGCAAGGAACTCTCAGAACTTTGGGCCTGTGAGCCAAAGCTTAGAATTAAACCCAGATTTGATCTGAGAGCTTGGAAAAGGCTTCCAAACTGAGGTGCTAGAAGTGAGAATGTGGATTTAGAATTTAAAGCAGAGACACGTTAAACTAAGTAAAGTCTAGAGTTTTAACGTTTAAGATACAGAAAAAATGAAAGTAGTTACAGAAGTAAACAAGGAGTTTATAATACTGAAAGTTTGTGTGTTAGAATTGACTAAGAAAATTGACACTGTAGCATGGGTCATAAGATGAAATATTAAAAGATTAAATCAAAAACATAAATATCCTATTGGCAGTGTTTTATTGGTCAATAACTCCTTAAAAGGTCTTGTAACTAAGGGCCTTGTGACCTTCTGAGCTGTGCTCTAATGTGAGCTGAGCTCACTCTACCTGTCTGTGTGGAAGAAAATAAATTGCATCTCAAAAACAATTCACAGGTCCTGTCTCAAATTCCTTCCAAAATTCTCCACAAGGGAATTATCAGAGTCAGGCACTGGAGCAGGATGGCAGGGAAGGGGTGGAATCCACCACTGGTAGGATCAGCAGTGCTCAGAAGGAGTCTGAATGTGGCACACGGGGACAGGGCTGCACTCCATGATCTGAGAGCTCTTTTCCAACAATTCCACGTACCCAAGAGCACCCCAGGGTGCTCTGATCCCAAAATCCTTCCCTGTGCTCTCTGCACACCCACTTTGACCCGTCACAGCACAACCTCCCTGTCACAGGGAGTGCCCAGCTGTGGCCACACGTGTGACACTTGCCAGGACACACCAATGTCCCAGGTGAGAGAATCAATGCCCTGCACAAACCCAAGGCTTCATTTTCACTGCCACAAAGCTTTGGCTGAGGGAAGTTCAGTGCAGCTTTCATGATTAAATCAGGAGAAATTGCGCAGCAGTTATGTTATGATAAATTCTCCAAACCTGACAAAGCAGCTGCTCCTTTCCTAAAGGAAGGAGATGATGTCAGACTGTTGGAACCCTTAATACAGAGAATTTTGGGTTTTCTGTGCTGCCAGGCACTGACCCCCAGGAGAACACTGCATTGACCTGAGGCCGTGGAGAAGCTTCCAAAATGGAATGGCAGAACTGGGATTGTGGGGGTGGAGTTTGAATAGAAGTGTGCGATATCACAGGGTGGGAAACTCAGAGTTTAAGGGTTTAGAATACAGGAATAGATATAAAGCAAGATGGAGGTTTTGGGGTGGAGGCTGCTCCTTCTTCCCCTTCTTCTCAATGGGTTTGGGTGGTTTTGTGTAATTGGATAAAAAAGTCGCCATTGTGGGCACGGGTGGTTGGTTATTGAGTTAAAAGTAAAAATAATTCAGGTGTCATTTCTTAATTGGAGATTTGATCCTTAAAAGGCCTTGCAGAGAGAGATGGGCTCCATGTTTAGTTTGTCAGAGTGAAGGGCTGCAGAACTCAGGGTTTGTGAGGCTGTGACAGAGATAAGAATTGATAAACATCTGAGTCCCAACAAGAAATTCCATCTCACACATTTAATCCTGACCTTGGCAAAACAGAAGCAAAGACTCCACATCCCACTGTGTTTAACCCCCCCCCCCAAGCTGCAGCACCAAGATTTGGCTGATCTGAAGTCCAACCTGGATTTTGCTACCAGAAATGTGATCTCACCACTTCAACCTTTTTATCAGCTGTTTTTCTGTCAAGGCACCTCTCACCATACACATTATTGATCTAGCTAATCATTACCTCTCTAATCAAACCCTTCTATTTGCAGCTTTAGAAGTGGATTGCACATCCTGAAGCCCAAACAACAAACTACTGATCTCTATAAACAGGAACCACCTGAAATCATGGGAAACCCCCAAACTGCTGCAGGTGCTGCATTTGGAACTCCCAGCCCAGGCAAGAGTCCAAGTGAAGCTTAAAATTTACACAGGTGCTAAAAACCAGCTCTGGGTGCTGCCCCTGTGCTCCAGCTTCCTTCAGAAAAATGGATTTTCTGTGCTCACCGTCTGTGGCTGCCACAAACAGCCGCTTCTTGCACCAGTGGTGAATAAAAAGGGAATTTCAAACATGACCTGTGTATTTCAGGGGGTAATGGGGAAGGCCTGAAAACTTCCTCCCACATTACAAGTTCCAGAATCAGGTGTCAAGTTTGAAGAACCACACTTCTCTCCAGCACACCCTTTTTTTTTTTTTTTGTATATATATTTAGGCCTATCTGCTTTACAAAGCTACATGGCAGAAAGTTTTTGGGGATAAGAGGTCCCAAACAGCTCAATTCTATCCTTAAAACAATGCAGTGAAACCTTTGTCAGGTGCCTCTTCCTGACCGAAAACCCCCACCCAAACACACAGAACATTTCTGCAATATTTATATTGAAGCTTCTCATTCATAACCTCTCCACTGACTGAAATTCTTGCTTTATTAAAAAAAAAAAATATATAATTTGCCAGCAGACAGTTTAGAAACAAAGCCCTGCTCAGCCATTCATTTGAACTATTTCAAAAAGTTACTAATATTGTTTTTAATGACAGATTTTAAAGCTCTACACACTCCTGTTTTCAAAGCCACAAGTACTCTGAACACTCCAGCCCCACTATTTCTCAGTATTTTATGTGCAAAAATGACTGAAACCCTTACTCTGAAGTTCCATGTTTTATTTTTTTATGCAGGCTCCATGAAAATAAAAGAGACTAATTCACCTTCACTTACAATTCCTATCATGTGTCACACTCCATTATCTCCTGGCAGTCTCAGCAAACACAATTGAATACTAAATAAACAGTTAACAAGATTTTACTGGACTTCCACTCACTTTAAAGTCAATTAATCCAAAGGCACTAAAAGTGCCTGGTTTGTAGATAATGCCCTGTGCTGTAAAACAGGATTGTTAGCACTAGTATAAACCATTTTGTTCAGGAATATAAAATTCCATCTGGAGTTGCAAAATATTTCTCTCAATTCATTCTGACCTATCCAATATAGTATAAACTCCCCTAAATCAAACTCTTTCCAAATTAATCTTAAAACACACAAAAATACTGAAAACATCCGTTGCTGAATGAGGACTTATTCAGCACTTATTGAAGTTACAAACTGGTGTAACATGTGGACAAACAAATAGAACATTTTTAATCAGCTGCACAAGGATCAGGACACACTAATTATTATATAAAAGTTTGTGTCTTAATTTCATCAGACTATTCAAATTTGATATAAAGCCACTTTTCTCATTTGATTTCCTCTGCACTTTGTGAAATTAAAATAATAATTAGGTGTCCTCAGTACTACAAATTGGAACAAAGCACATTCAACACGTCCCTTCAAACACCTAAACTGTTTCTAAAGAGAAACAGATGAGTTTTTAATGTTTTATTTACCTGGTTGTGAAGTTGCTACACTTCTCAGGGGGGAGATGACAGCAAGCATTCCCAAGTTTCCTATTCACTTTGAGAAAGACTCTTAAAGTCTCCTTCTAGGAGACTCTGCTGCTCAGCACCACGAGATACTTGGAGAAATCTGGGCTCTGCCAGGCACTGGAATCAAAGAACCACCTGAAAGCAGTGAAAAAAAAATCACTGGACACTATTAGGAAAGGAACTCGCCACACTTTGCTTTAAACTGCAACAGCCTCGGCCAACATTACAGCACAGAAATCACTGTCCTGGCTGGTTTTACAGATGTTCAAAGCACCAGCATCCCTCAGGATACCCCAAGTTATCCTCAGGGCAGCTCGAGCATCCCCCCGAACACCCCGAGTTTGTTATCCCACCCAGGCACCCTGAATTATCCTTTGAACACCCCGAGTTTGTTATCCCCCTACAGACATCCCGAATTATCCTTCGGGCAGCCCAAGCATCCCTCCGGCCACCCTGAGTTTGTTATTCCCCCTGGACACCCTGAATTATCCTCTGGACACCCCGAATTTGTTATCCCACCCAGACACCCCCAATTATCCTTCGGGCAGCCCGAGCATCCTTCCAGGCACTCCAAGTTATCCCTCCCTGAGTTAGTTATCGCCCTGGGCAGCCTGAGCATCCCTCTAGACACCCCGAGGTAGTTATCCCCACCGGACACCCCAAGTTATTCCTCTGGGAAGGAGCGGCGGGAACAGCCGGACCGAGCCCGGGAGAAGGGAAGGAAAGGCTGGAGCAGCCGGACCGAGCCCGGGAGAAGGGAATGAGGATCTGTAGCAGCCGGACCGAGCCGGGAGAAGGGAAGGAGCAGCAGGAGCAGCCGGACCGAGCCCGGGAGAAGGGAAGCAGTGTCTGGAACAGCCGGACCGAGCCCGGGAGAAGGGAAGCAGTGTCAGTAGCAGCCGGACCGAGCCCGGGAGAAGGGAAGGAAAGGCTGGAGCAGCCGGACAGAGGCTCAGAGGGGAAGGAAAGGCTGGAGCAGCCGGATCGAGCCCGGGAGAAGGGAATGAGGATCTGTAGCAGCCGGACAGAGGCTCAGAAGGGAAGGAGGGTCTGTAGCAGCAGTACCGAGCCCGGGAGAAGGGAAGGAGTGTCTGTAGCAGCCGGACCGAGCCGGGAGAAGGGAAGCAGTGTCAGCAGCAGCCGGACCAAGCCGGGCAGAAGGGAAGCAGTGTCCGGAGCAGCCGGACCGAGCCCGGGAGAAGGGAAGCAGTGTCAGTAGCAGCCGGACCCAGCGGTGCCCGGGCCCCTTGCCCCGGCGATGATGCCGCTGGCAGAGCGGTCCCCACCCGCGCTCCGTTGCCGGGCTGTGGCCAAAGCGTCCCCGCCGCCCTCCCGGAGCCGCGGGACAAAGGGAAAAGCCGCGGGAAAGCGGAGGGCTCGGGGAGGTCCCCGGTGTCACCTGCGGCCCCTCGGTGGTCCCGGGGTGCGGATCGCGGTGCGGGAAGGGACGGAGCCCAGCTCACATCCCGCCGGCCCGGCCGCGGAGCGCTGATGTCACGGCGGGCCGGGCTGCGGGAGGACTCTGGGAATTGCAGTTCCCGAGCCCGGCACTTCTTCCCGAGGTTCAGCAGTTCCCGGCCCGCCGGGGTTTCCTCCGCCGGGAAACGCTGCCCAGGTGCGAGAGCGGCGTCTCCTCCCCGGGAGTTAATTGTGCTCAGGTGATCTGTATCGATATAGAAATGTATAGCTGTGAAAAAGCTAAAGCATATCCATATATAAGTATGTTAGAGTATATAATAATAAAGTAACTATATATATTATAAGTGAAAATATTATGATAATATAATAAGTGTAATATGTAATATTATACGTATTATTAATTATAATTAATATATATAATTTATATATAGTATTAATATATAGTATTATATATATATTAATTATAATTAATATATATAATATATATTATATATAAATAAAATATAAATTCCAAACTCATAGATATTATATATATAATTAATTATATATATAATTAATTATAATTAATATATATTTAATAATTAATAATTATAATTATTATACTCAATAAATATTATACTTATAGTATGCTAAATTATTATTTATTATTAATAATTTCACACTTGATAATTATTAATACTTCTTATGCTTACTATTACATATTAATATATGTATTAAAGTATATGTACATAAAGTATATATAAATAAATAAATGTATAAAATTTTATATTATATATAATGTATAAAATATAGAACATTATTATTTTATAATAAATATATATAAAATTATATTCGTATATATAAATATATCTTTTTTTATAATATATAGTTTTTTTCTATTTTACATATAAATTATATTTACATATAAATATATATATAAATAAATATATATATAAAGTATATATACTTCATATATATAAAAGTATATAAGCATAAATATATATAGAGAAGTATGTATATGTATGTGTGAAAGTATAAATATATATAAATATATAAGTATAAATATATACATATAAATATATAGAGAGAAGTATATATATGTATATATGTGTGTGAGTATATCTATAAAGGTATCTAAGTATATATCAAAATATGTGTGTATACATGTATATTTATTTAAACTATATAAGTATATATCTATTAAAAACTTTATCTGTAAAAGTACATATAAATGTATATGTAAATATATATGTGTATGTGAAAGTACATATATAAAAGTATATAAATATAAATATATATAAAAGTATATAAGTATAAATGTATATATAGGAGTATATGTTTATATATTTATGAAGATTTAAATTATATATCTGTGTAAAAGTACATATATATAAAAAATACACAACTATAAAACTATATTTAAGTTTGTGTCTATATGTGTATATATAGTTAAAGTATATATGTGTGTAAAAGTACATATATATAAAATACATAACTATAAAAGTATATATTAAAGTATGTGTGTATATATTACAACTATTTATATAAATGTATATGTGTATATATTTGTATGTGTGAAAGCACATCTATAAAACAATATAAGTATACATTTATATATAAAAGTATTTGTGTATATATTTAAAGTATATATGTGTAAAAGTGCATATATAAAAAGTTGTATAATTATAAAAGTATGTGTATGTATATATATTTAAATTATATACGTGTGTGAAAGTGTGTATATATAAAAAAGAATATCAGTATAAAAGTATATATATAAAAAATCTTAAATAAGTATATAAGTTGATATATTCATTTATATATATGATTTTAATATATTACTATATATATTATACTACTATATTTTTATATATACTATATTTATATATTTTTAATATAAGTATATATTCATTGCTATTTATATTAGTATATATTCGTGTATATATACTATATTTATATACCTACAAATATATTAAATAATATCAATATATATACATATAGTAAAATCATATACCTATATTAGTATATATATATTGTGTGTATATCTACTATACTTGTCAAGTAATAAACTGTATATTTTAATATTTCAAAACCATTTAAGCTGTGATCAGGAAGCACAACCGAGTAAGGAAATTTTAATTGCTTTAATAGACATATAAATATACAATTACATGATGTGCCACAGTAAAAGGCTTTTCCACCTCTTGAATCTCTGGGGGTTTGGCATCTCAAATAATTCACTGCAATTAATTTGGTTTTGCTGCTGGTGGCACTTCTGTTGCACTGAAAAGAATTAAAAATTAAGTTTATTTTAAGTAAAGGCCTCCTTCCATGCTAAGCTGATTTGCCTTTTCCCCTTTTTCAAATTTCTTGGTGAGAAATGTATTTTATCACTTTCTAAACTTTTTTTTTTCCATAATAAAGTCGTGGTTTTCCCACAATTCTTTGCCTCAGATTATAAATCCTGATCGTCCCCACACATCACTCTATTTTTAGCCCTACCAAAAAAAAAAAACCAAAATGTAATTTCAACAAATAAACGTGTCCAGAGAGAATGGAAATGGCAAACGGATCCATCTTCATCTTTCTGAAGAAAATGACACAAAACCCAGTTAAAACGCAATTTAGTCGGGTTGCTGGGAAGTGGAGTCCATCATCAGTCAGGAATTATTAATCTTGAAACTGGAAAAAAGAGAAAGTGCTAAATTCCCACTAAATTAAAAAAAAAAAAAAAAACACAAAAAACCCATCAAAAAAAATTAACAAAAGCTACCTTCCACGTAAATTTATTTAAATTAATCTCCAAAATACGAATAAAACCGCTCTAATAAAACAGAATATGAATGGCACACAGCACAAAACCTTCCCCAAATATTAATTTTATTCCCTGCAGCTTTTCTGACACAGCAATAAATAGGAAATTAGGTCAGCTCTAAAAACTCAACTTTTATTTGCTGAGTTGCTGTTCCCCCTCTGGTTTGTCCCAAAACTTCCAATGACATCCTCAGGCACCCTCCAGCTGCCAAATCAGCACAAGTGGAGAATAAAATAATATATAAAAGTAAAAAAGAAGAAGCTTTAATATCCATTTCCACTTTTTTTTCCCTCAAAACCCTGAAAGATCAAAAATGTAAAGCAGGGATGAAGGAAAATGGAAAAAGCCCAAACATTTCCAGAGTTGTGGCAGCAGAGCACTGAAGCAAAACTCTGATTTTAGTGGGAGGAGGAGACAGCAGAATTCCAAATTCATTTAGCCTGGATGGACAGAGGGAAAGAGAGGAATTCAGACATAAATCCACAAAAACAGTTTAGGCAGAAATTATTTCTGCTGGCTCAAGAACGCAGTTACAAAAAAAAAACCAAAAAAAAACCAAAAACCAAAAACAAACAAAAAACAAACAAACAAAAAACCACAGGAAAAAACAAACAAAAAAATCAAAACAAAACCCAGACTTTTCCTTGAAGGGTTCACAGTCTAAAAAAGCAAAATACCGCACAGGGAAAGGGTTGGGAAAAAAGGATTTAAAGCCAAAATGTAGCATTTGTCTTTGTTTCTATCCAGCAGAAACTGCGCTCCCAAAAATATGAAATAATTAGAAGTAGCAGGAGCTACAGGCTCCTCTCAGAATAACATTCCAAATGCCACAGTGCCCATGCAGAGAGTGCTTTCAGCAGGAATTGTTGGGAAAAGGGGATGAAACTGCCACATTTTCCAGCCCTGAAAACCCTGGAGAAAGTGAGTGTCCTGGAAAAGCAGCACCAAGGCAGCCTGTGAGAATAAATCCAATTTGTGCCTCTCGTCTGGGCAGTTTTTGGCCATTCCCTGAAGGCCTGGAAGGGTTCAGCAGCAGGAAAATCCACTCGAAATATTGATATGAAGCTAAATATCGGTGAGGTTTTTTTAAAGAAATCCAGAGTGAAGATGCTCACACAAAACTTGGTCACAGCAGTGTGAATCCCTATGAGTAATTATGTTTTTAATAGGGAATAGCAGTGATTTTAACAACCTGCAGTAGTAGAATATATCTATATATATATATATTATATTACATTTGTTTCTATAGATAAAAAATATTATCTCTCTGTGTATAGAGATAACATAGAATATATGCAGAATATAGATATATCTATAGAATATAAATTGTACATAGTAGAATATATATACATTATATGTATTTCTAGATATAGAAATAGTATATCTCTATGTATAGATATAATATAGAATATATAGAACATATATATTTATATATATAAATATATATGTTTTTATATATTATATATATAATATATATAATAATATATTTATATATTATACATATTATATATAATATATTATATATATTATATATTATATATATAATATATATATAAATATATATATTTATATATATTATCTATAGTAGAATATATGAATATATCTAGACTATATATTTATAGATATATACATAGAATATACATCTCTATATAGATATAATATAGAATATATAGAATACATATCTATATGTAGAATTTTATATGTATCTATAGATAGAATATATAGTAGAATACATATAGACTATAGATATATCTATAGAATATATATATTTTATATAGTAGACTATATAGACTATATTTGTTGTGTTATATTTAATTTATATTTATATTTATAGTTATATTTATAGTTATAGTTATAGTTATATAAAATAGAATAGACTGAAGTACAAGCTGTAATTTTCCTGGACTTCTCACCACACCAAGCCAACTTTTTTTTTTTGCATTTTACTATGACAGAGAAGGTAAAAAATTTAACGATGAAGACAAGCACTGCTCCTAGAAATTTTTTAACATTAAATTAAAGGCAGAAAAAAAAGAGGAAAACTTCTTTTTCCTGAAAGCAACCACTTCATCTATTCTCCTCTGCAATCTCTGCCAGTGACTCCTGTCTTATCCCCCTGGGATTTCAGATTATTCAGATTATTCCACTCTTTTCCCACAGAAAGCATCACTGAGGCAGAGGAAGGGGAACCTGAGGGAAACCCAAAACGGGGAGCAGGAAGGGCCCCACATTTTTCAGCTGTTTGGGTTGAGGCTGGGATCTGAGCAGGCACCTTTGGGCACCGTGTTGGTGCTCCTCAAAATTCCCTCCTGGATTTGGAGGTGCTGGTAATGGTTGGAGCTGATGATCCAAGAGGTCTTTTCCAGCCTTAATAATTCCATGGCTCTCAGAGAGGCAAAACCAACAATTTTTTTGCAATTCTTGTTGATTTTGCACTTTGCACCCTCCAGCCCCAAATTCACCTGGCTCCAATCGTTAATGGTGGAGAAGGCTGTGAGGGAGAATAAAAAAAATTCAGGATAACATGGATTGGGGATGCTTCCCTCCATTTCTACCTCATTTTTTTTTTATTTTCCAGATGTCATCAAACATCTCTTCACCCCAGCACCTTCTCATCTCTAACCCTGTGTCACCTGCAGCTGCTGGCAGCAACAAACCCTTTCAAACACTGAAGAAGACAAAAGAAATGTGTGTCCAAGGCAGAAAAGATGCAGGGCTTCCCCAAACAGAGGAGTTTATTCAGTGTTTGTTCAGGCCCCAGGACAATGAAACCATTCTGAGCAGCCTTTGCACAATGGGTGGCAGAGGAAAAGCTGCTTCAGGCCGAGCTGGGCAGCACAGCCTCATCTTTGTGGCCTCTGAAGGCTCCAATTTCATTTATTTTCCCAGCAGAAAGACTCTGATACCAATCCCACACCTGACCAACAGTATAAAGCACAGTTCTTGCCAGCAAGCAACCTGAAAATGCATTTATTTTTCTTTATTCTTCACACCAAGCAAAAAAAAAAAAAAAAAAGGCATCTTCTTGTTCAGATAAGTCACATTTAAATCAGAGGTAATAATTAATGAGGTATTCCACACAATCATTTTACAGCAACCATAGAGTTTTAATCAATATAAGCATTTTTTTTTTTTACAGACAAATTCCTTTTCACTGTAACACTGAAACGGAGGCAGAACGTGATTTTGGACGGGTTTTGTTACAAATATTCATGCAAAGGCGCTTTTTTTTTTTGTTTTGGACAAAATGGGATCTCACCTGGGCAGTTCTCTCATTGTGAAACTGATTGATTACAATACAAAAATAAAAAAGGTTCCTACAAATCACTGCAGGTTGACAGGGTCAGGAGGCACAGAGCTGGCTGGCTTTGGAATAAGAGAGGAATGTGTTGCAGCAAGAAGAAAAATTGGGGAAGCAGAGGAGTGTTGGCAGCCAGAAAAAAAAATGAAGCAAAGAAATGCCAAAGCATTGGGCTGCTCTGAAAACGCTGGGGGTGGTGGATGGAGAAATCCCCAGGTTTTCCATGGAGGAAACCTCCATCCAAAACTGCAGGTGGCAGCAGGGACAGGGTGTGAGGAACACAGAAAACGTGGAGGTGCAGAGCCAGAACATGGTGAAAATCCTCCCTCAGCAAGGCCAGGCCAAGCCAGCATGTGCAGCATTGAAAATGTCCTTTTCCTCTCCCAAAAAAATGGTTTGAGGGAAGGGAGTCAGAGGAACTCTGCTCCCTCCACTGGCACCAAAGCAGGAGACAGGACAGGAGGTTTGAGACCTTTCTTTCCCAGCTGGGATGAGTTAAAATCAAGCTCTGACATGTGAAGCACAAGGTGTTCCTCTTTCTGAACACAATTCCGGTGGTGGCAAGAAACGCCCGCCCCATCAGCAAGTTTAAGAAGCTCAATGCAAGGATCAATTTGCAGCAAAAAACTTCAGCCTGAGAATACATTTCGATAAGAGCAGCATGACCTCCACTCAAAAAAAAAAACCAAAAAAAAACAAACAAAAAAAAAACCCAAACGAAAAAAAAAACCACAAAAAACAACAGAATTGTTATACCACAGAATGGTTATTCTGAACTGAAAAAATCAGTGCACGGCACAGGGAAACTCCTGATGCCATCGCTTGGGAGAGCACAGTGTGAGGGAGTGTCAGCCTGGAGATCCATCCAGCGTCCAACCCAACAACTCACAGCACCCCTAAAAAAGTGGAAAACCTGCGATTCCCTGGATTCTCCACAGCAGATCCAACCCAGTGACCTACCACAGCTTTGGGTTCCTGCTGTTTATCCTTCAAGACCCCCCCTCAGCCAAGAGCAGCATTCCCAACCTCTCCCTGAGGCGCTCCCTCCTCTATTTAGCAGCGGTTTGGGGCCACCACAGCGGCGTGGCGGCGTGGAGCTTTACCCTGTGCGCTCCCAGGGCGATGCAGAGCGGCTCTCCGAGGTGAGCCAGCCTCAGCAGGGCGATCCCCAGCTCTCCTCCTCCGGCACGGAAGGTGCCGGCGCGTTTCCCCGCCGCGGTGAGGATCTCGGCGCCCTCGGGAAGGCCGGCGGCGGGAAGCGGCTCCGGGAAGCTGACGGGCAGCAGGCGCTTGCGGATCACGCCCATGTGGTGCGTCCTGGCCGTCAGCTCCTGCCCGATGTAGCAGCCCTTGGTGAAGCTGATGCCGTTCATGAAGGCCAGGTTGGATTCCAGAGGGAGGGCGACTCCAGGGGGGAGATCTTTCACCCCTTCGGGAATTCCTAGGGAGAGAACAAAGCCAGCAGGTTGGTGTTGCAGCATTTTTGAGAGAAAGAGGACATGAATTGTGAAAGTTGAGCTACTCCAGTCTAGGCCTCAGATTGAGGCCTGGTGGGGCCTTCAAGCCTCTGACGCAGTTAGAAATTCAGAGCTTGTGGCGCAGATAGAAATAGTCTTAAGGTGTTGTGGGGACCACTGGATTGTCTGGGTGTGAATTAGGATAGGTTTTATGGTGTAAAGTGTAGGCCGTTTTAAGGAAAAGGTAAACAATGTTAGCCTACCAATCAGAGTGTCTTTGTTTCTGTAAACTATGTGGAAGCTTATATAAACTACCGCCTGATCTTGAATAAACGGAAAACGCTTGATGAACCACATTGGTTTGAACCTGCATTTGTCTTGTCCAGCTTTCCGTTTTTCTGAGATTCCCCGGCTTTAGGTTGGTGCCTTGGGAAGACTGGCCTAGAACAGAGATGGATCAAGCTAAAGAATAAAGCAGGGTGTGGCTTTTGGGGGTCACTTATGGCTGTCCCCCGTCCCTCCCCGGCCCCCCGGGACCCCTCCGGCTCGCTGTCCCCTCAGGGGACCGGGGTTTGCTGCAGTCCCATGTCGGAACTCAAAATGTCCCTCAGACATTTTCAGAGGTTCCAGGCCTCGGTCAGAAACATTTTAGACCTTGGCAAGCAGCTGGAAACAGCTGTGATTTTGAGTTTGAGCCATGGAATGAGTTACCAACTTTGAAGGTGGAACAAGCGGTCACAGAGGGTTTGATGGTATAGTAAAAGTAGTCACAAATTAGAGGGGAAAATTTTTAGTATTGTACATGGGGGTTTTAATACCTGTACAGGCGGGTTTTTACTTTGTACAGGGGTGTCAGGAGTTCTAAGATGGAGGAAAGTGGGCCTGATCCTGTTCTTCCTCCTTCTTCTTCCTCCTTACCTCCATGTTCTTGGTGATGTTGGCACTCACAGATTGGTTTAGAGTAGAAAAGCACATTGTAACATAGATAGTAGGTATTGGGGAAAATCTGTAAACATGTAAGACGTAATATATCATATAAAAGATAGCAGCAGCCCTGGGCAGGGAGAGAGAAGAAGACACCAGTGAGGGTGTCAGGAGTGTGTGTGTGTTTCTGCCTGGGCAGCTGACCAAAGCACAGCAGCCCGAGAAGAAAATCTTTTAGATAACTTGCAATAAACTGCCTTGAGACCGAACAACAAGAGGCTGCAGAGTTTTTCTTTGGAAGCACAGGTTGGAGGAGAGACTTTACCACCACACGAGAGCCCCGAATCAATCCCGGGGCTCTCACAGTCCCAGGCAAGGCTGGGTTGGCGCGGTCCGAGCGGCAGCGCGCCTCGGACGCTGCAAGAATTCGGGATAAAGAGACAAAGAGAGGTCAGCTGTGTGCAGTACAGAGAGATTGTATTGCCTGGACGGTTGCAGGGACAAAAGACCCTGGGCTACTGCCCAGATACGGTTTTATACAGCAAAATTAAGAGATAAGGTCTAAACAATAGAGACAGTGTTCAGCATGGGCCCATCAGAACCACCCCAGGGGTCAGGTCCAATGGGAACTGCTCAGGGGTGGGGAAAAAGGGGTTTACAGAAAAATGCTGAAGCGAAACTTTCCTGAAACAATGGGGGATACATAAATGTATCTTTTCCTCAGTTTCCCATTCCCAAGGCCCTTCTAAAACCCTTCCTCCACACCACCACGCCAGCGCAGTAGCAACACCTCCCTCTTCTTTACTTAATAAGATGAACAGTGCCTTGGGAAAAGGTAAAACTGCAGCTCTCAAACTGTGGTGTTGTTCTACTTTCCCTGCTTGGATCCACCTTGGGCAGCACCAGAGCCCAGCCAGGGCTGCACCAGAGGTGAACCAAAATGATCCCAAAATGTCGCTGAAAGGCCCCCAGCTGGATAATAATTAGCATTGACTCCATGATTGCAAAAGGCTGACCAACTGCTTCATTATATCATCCTATACTATATTATACTACTATATATTATACTATATTATGCTGAGTTTCATACTACTATACTATATATTATACTAAATTATGCTGAGTTTCATACTACTATACTATATATTATACTATATTATGCTGAGTTTCATACTACTATACTATATATTATACTAAATTATGCTGAGTTTCATACTACTATACTATATATTATACTATATTATGCTGAGTTTCATACTACTATACTATATATTATACTATATTATGCTCAGTTTAATACTACTATACTATATATGATACTAAATTATGCTGAGTTTCATACTACTATACTATATATTATACTATATAATGCTGAGTTTCACACAACTATACTATATATTATACTATATTATGCTGAGTTTCATTAAGAAACTCAGCAACCCTTGCAGCCAGCCCGATACAGCTTTGACCAATCGACCCAAAAACCATCCAGTGTCCAATTAGGAAGTCACAAATCTCCGTGGCACACTCCACATGTACAACAGCAGGTTGAAGTGGAGAGAAGAATTGTTTCTCATTCTTTCCTCTGATCTTCTCCCAGCCTTCCCCAGGAAAATGCCCAGGAAAGTCTGTGCCTGCTCTCTGTGGCCAGAAAGCTGCTGCTACAACAAAATGCACGAGTGCTCATGGGGTCTCTCATTTTTATCAGTTCTGCTCCATTTCCACCTTGGAGTTCATTGTCCCATTCCAGCTTTAGCCCAGGCAGTCCCATCCTGCTTGTTTTTCTCTCTCCACCACGGTGTTTGTGCTCCTGGGGCTGAGGTTTGGATCATTTGTCCTTGGTGCCCAGCTGGAGAAGGAATTGTTTTGTCTCCCTGCTCTGTGCAGAGAGCTCAGCATCCCTGATATGAAGCTCAGACCCACACACCAAAGCAGCACAGTTTGAAAACATAAAAGCTCAAACCTGAGGCATCAAGGTAAATGCTGCTCCTCATTAGATTTCTGCTCTGAATTGTTTGGCTCATTCTCAGATTGATTTTCCAACCCAGAGGGATCCCAGTTTCAGCACAGGACCATCATCTTTCCCTCCTTCCTGATTAATTTAATCTTTTATCACCATGGAGACACTAAAATCAAAGGCACTGGGGCTCCCAGGACTGAGATCCCTGTCCAGTCTCCTTGGCCTCAGAGTTAACTCAGCAAATCCAGCCACAAAATTTTTAGGAAGCCATGTCTGGGTGTTTCCTTTTCCTTCTTCAGCAACAACCAAACACCTGGGCTATGTGTCATCCCAAAACAATCAAAATTACTCAAACCATAGACGCTCCTCTCTAAGAAAATGAATAATCCTGGCTTTCTTTTAGAATTCCTGACCAATCCCCATAATCTGAATAATAGAAAATGATACCCAAATATTGCTACCAGACAGAATTATAACGAGCAGCACACTTTGTGCTACTTTAATTAATTCAAAGTAGCAATTAATACATGTATTAATTAACAAATTGAATGCATTAAGACTTGAGAATGAAGGGTTTATAACTTATTACTGCCTTAAATCAGCACGTGGACTCCCAAAACCCATAGTGCACAACAGGGCTTGGCTTTACCTTGTTTATACCTGTGCCTGTGGTAATCCTGGACGTCTCCAACTTGGCTCCCAGGGATAATCTCTGACAGATTTGCTCCTTTCTTTGCAATCAGTCTCCAGCCCATGACCTCTGTCCTGGGGTCTGGGGTGAGGAGCAGAGCCTGGTCTGCACATTTTGGGAGGGAGCTGGCATCCCCAGGGAGGACAGCCCACAGGGAGAGGTCGGGGCAGGGGCTGATGGTGACTTTCCTGCGGATCTTGTAGAGTTTCAGGTGTTTCTGGATGGAGTCCAGAACGCTGCTGTCACACTCCAGCAGGATGTGAGGCTCCTCTGCTGTGCTCCTGTGGAGCCTAAAAAAACAAATCACACCCTCGAGGTCAGGAAAACAAACACCCACAGCAGCAAGAGCCAAAGGTGGATTTTTATTTGGATCCACACAGGGATTTCTGGATTTGCAGAGAAATCCAAAAATTTCTGTGCAGATTTCTGGATGGCACAGAGGGAGCAGCAGCTGTGGGTCTCAGATTCAGTCAAAAGAGAAACTGAGAGTTTCTAACCAGGCAGAAGCCTGGGCATCTATTGGAAAATCATGTAAATAAGAGGTTCATCTCTGTGTTGTTCACATTGTTTATAGTTGGAAGAAGGCTTTTGAACCAATCTTTTGGTTGCAAATAACAATTATAAGTCGTAATCTGTTTTGTAATAAGAATATTTTAATTAGAATGTTGGTTAGTACTCAGGATTTTAAACAGTAGCTTTAGAATGAACAAAGGATTTAAACAGAAAGGGAAGTGACCCTATGGACATGAAGATTGCTGATTAATGACTTCAAAAGGGGAAGTTGGACATCACTACCATAGATTAGTGCTCCTAAGAAAATAAGGAAAATGGTTATCAAGATTGTCGATAAATGATTTTGAAAGCAAAGCTGGACATCACCATAGATTAAAAATCCCAAAATATAAATGCTGGACCCCACCACCTGCACACACATCCTGGGATGTTCACAATATAGAAATTGGAAAGAAACCAGACATCACCATCATGGATTTACAATCCTAAAGTGCAGAATTTTAACGTCAAAAGGTAGAAATGGAAATTGTCAAAAGCTCATGTAGAAACTAGAAAAATATGAATATGCATGAATATGATCAATAAATACCAGCAAGCCCAACAACCAGTGTCCAGTTGGAGAGGAAAACCCCCACCACTGTACCCAGCGCTGTCTGTGCTCATACGTTATTAATTAATAATTATTAATAAATACCATATTAATTCATAAATGAAATTGCTGCTTGATATATCGGCTGAGTCAAGCATCTCATTCCTAACAATCCCCAGATTGCAGCAAGTGCCGGCACACACACACACACACACACACACACACACACACACACACACACACACACACACACACACACGGAGGAATCTTTTTTTTTTATTTTGGCACATATAATTAAGAAATTTAAGCCGGAAATGTCACACGGCGGTGACAGGAGCCACCCCCCCCCCCGCCACCCCGCAATGGTCTCTCCCAGCTCCCCCCCCTCCGGCGGCGCCGCTTGGTCTCACCTGTACAGGATGACGTCATACAGGCAGCGGCCCTGCGCGTTCAGCGCGTGCGCGTAGAGCGCGCGGGGGGCGTCGCCCTCCGCCAGCAGCCTCGTGACGTCATTGGTGAGCAGCCCCTGCAGGAACACGGCGGCTTCGGCGCCCCGCACGCCCAACAGCGCCCGGCCCAGCGGGAAACAGGCGGTGGCCGCGCCCCGCCGGCCCCGGCACCACCGCCGCAGCCCGGGCGCCGTTATTGCCCTCACCAACATGGCGGCGCCCTCAAAGAATCCACCCGGCGCGGCCGCCCGCCGCCGCCGCCGCCGCCATCTTGTGTGTGTCCGCCGGGAGGGCGGCGCGGCGGGACCGCCCCCTTATGGTAGGCCACGCCCCCTTTGGGTAGACCACGCCCCCTAATGATCTGTGGTGCTGTCCTGGCCGCGCCCCCTTCCCGCTAGGCCACGCCCCTCTAATTGTCTCCTATGATGTTCTGGCCACGCCCCATTCCCGCTAGGCCACGCCCACCCAATGGTCTATGGGGGGTCTGTCCTGGCCACGCCCCCGCCCCATGGCCACGCCCCCTTCCCCTTAGGCCACGCCCCCGGTTCTGAGGGGCGCCGGGCGCTCCCCGCGATCCCGGAGCAGGAATTTGGGAACACCCAAATTCCCACATGGATTGGGTGTTCGGGGATTTGGGGAATTTGGGAACCCCCCCCGGCCATGGAGCGAGCGAGGGGACAGCCCGCAGCGCTCCCACATCTCCCCGCGGTTTGCTGTGGGGGCTGCCCAGCCCAGCTCTCCCCATTTAATTGGAGAATCCACCAGGCTGGAAAGGATCCATCGAGTCCAGCCACAGCAATTAAAGCATGGCATTCAAGCACTTCCATTCCTGCCCCTAAAATCCACTGGGGGCTGCAAACAGCGAGAGCACAGAGCCATCCTCCCCCTCCAGGTGCATTTTGGCTGTCAGGGTGGAAGAGACTCCAAAGGTTCCTGGTTTTCCACTGCTTTGTTCCCACAGCTGCCCTCCATCCTCTTTGAACAGCCTTGGAGAAGCTGTCAGTGGTAGCAATAAATGGTAACCTTTGGCAGTGGGAATTTCTGCTAAAATAAAGCCATGGAATCATGGATTTAGCTTTAAAGGTCATTAAATCCAACACCCTGCAAGGAGCAGGGGCGTGTTCAATCCATCAGGCTGCTCAGAGCCTGGGCCCAAACTGATGTGGAATATTTCCAGGGATGGAGGATCCCTGTGTTAAAGGGTTAAGCGCTGTTTCCCTCCCCTGGAATGTTCACTGGCGCTGGGGGAAGTGGTTCCTGAAGTGCCCAGATAGCAGCGGGTGTGTTTGGCTGGAATTCACCCCTCAGTCAGTCCACTGCCAGGCTGCCCCTTCCCTCTGCCAGCACCAGCAGTTCCCCAGGCAGAGAGACCCGAATGACCCCGCTAAAACCTCCAGCACCAGCCCAAAAACCACCGATCCCAAAAACCCCGAAGGGTTTTTGGGAGGGAGGCTCATTTCCCAGCAGCTGGAGTTGGTGCAGCTGGCCCTGGGCAGGGCTGGGAGTTAAAGCAGCTCTGCCCTTGTGCCCCACAGTGATAACCTTATCACACAGCCCCCAGCGCTGAGACACTGGGGGTGTTCACCCCGCTGGAATTGGGGGCTGGCCCTGCAGCTGCAGAAATAAAGATGTGGGCAGAGGTGACTGGAGGTGACCTTGGCACACAGATGTGCTCTGCCCACCCGCTGGCACCAGCTGCGTGTCCAAAACAGGGCTGGGGAAACCCTCCTGGCTCTGGGGCAGCTGAAGGAGCAGAGAGATGATGCCCAGGATGGTTCTTTTCTCTCCCTGGAAGTGGGATGTGCCCAGAGCAGGAGCTGGGTTTCCTTTTCAAGGAGAAGGGGGGAAAGTCACAAATCTGGGAGCACAGCTGGCTGGAACGCCAGCAGGCACATTTGGATCCAGCTTTGTGGGTTTTTTACCTGTTCCACAGCCCTGCATCACCCACCAAGCTGTGGGGATCATCAGTGGCCATCCCACCAGCAGCCCTTTGCCATCTCCCTGCATTCCCAACCACCACAGGTGTCTTGTGTCAAACCCCACGGAGATATTTGAAAGGGCAGCACAGGGAATAAAGTGAAAATGGAAAACAATCAGCCAGTTCAAATCTTTATTTGTTTTACCACTTCCTACTGCTTTTATTCCCTCCCCTCTGGCTTTGCTTTTCTCAGTTATGCAGCCAGTGAAGTCATATTGAAATATTTCAGTGTCAGAAACTACAACTCTGCAGTTTAGTGTATTAAATCAGCTCAGGGGGTGGTTTGAGACAATCCATGGTGTCACTGAGACCTGCAACCCCAAGAGCCTTGGGAGGGTTTGTACCAGCCCTCAGTGTGTGTCTGTTCACTAAAATGGGGGTCCTGAAGCCTGGTGGGATGGACAACACAATTCCCAGAGCTTCATGACTTTAATTTCTAGTGGAAGGTGTGGAATTCCAGTGAGAGGTGTCCCTGCTTGTGGCAGAGGGTTGGAACAAGGTGTGCTTGAAGTTCTTTTCCAACCCAAACCATTCTGAGATTCTGATATTGCCCCTGATGGATCAAACCCCACCAGCTTTGTCATTTCTAGGGGTGTTTTTGGAAGGAGAGCTGGCGGCACAGGGTGACAGGACACAAATTCCCTCCTCAGTGGAGCACCTCTCACCCAGTGAGATGTGTCAGGGTGGCTCAGGCTCCCTTCCCACAGCTCAGAAGGTGGTGACAAAGGACAGAGATTCCCTCCCTGTCCCTCAGCAGCCCCTGGGTGGTTGCACAAGCTGCCAGCAGCCTCCTGCTCCATCAACTTTCCACTCTCTGCTCTCCCACTGCACAAACCTCTGGACAGCCCGAGGCTCTCACTTGTGAGGGCTCATCCTTGACATTTAATTGTCAATAACCTCTGCAGCCAGCCCTGCAGGGTAATGCTGCCACAATAAACTCTTCTTCTTGGGGTTTTAAGCACAACTCCTCATCCACAAACCCACGTGAGCTGCAATTATTCCTCCTTGTCCATTAAATATTCTGGGAGGTCAGCCACAGGCAGCTGGGATGCAGGGCTGTGGTAAACCATAGCAGCACTTCTGGGACAATATCCCACAGCCTTGGAGAGGAAAACAGGGATTGTGGCAGGCCTGGACAATGCACAGTCAGTGATGACAGGGGGAATTGCAAGTACAACAGGCAGGATGCAGGAATAGAGCAAAGTGGAAGCTGAGCTTGGAGGGAGTGAGTTTGTGCATCCAAAAGGCTCCTCTGAAAGGAGGGTGGGCACCAGGCTTTTCTCACAGGGAACAACTCACAGGGGAAACAGCCTGAAGTTACACTGAGGTTTACATTGGATATTAGGGGAAATTGGATATCAGTTGCACTGATGAGGTTTACATTGGATATTAGGGAAAATTTCTTCACTGCAAGAGTGGCCAGGCATTGAACAGGCTGCCCAGGGAAGTGGTGGGATCACCATCCCTGGAAATGTTTAAAAACCGTGTGGATGTGGCAGCTGGGGACAGGGTTTGGTGGTTGTGGTGCTGGACTCATGAACTCAGAGGGTTTTTCCAACCTTAAGGATTCTGTGATTCCTGCTGGAGAGACTGAGAGGGAGGGACAGCTGTTCCTGCATTTCCCCGGTGTGGCTTTGTGATGGATGTTTTACTCTAGGTGACAGGAAAAAGGAATGGGTTGTGTTTGGGTTGTATTAAAGCCTTTATTTTATATTCTTTCAAGATCTTTTGAAGGGGATATATTGTTATTTTTGGTATAGTAGTAGTAGTGAAATAGTAATAATTGAGTGGGATTTTGAGTAAGTAAGAGCTAAGTTTACATTTTGTCGGGGCCAGGGTAACTTTATGGAAATACCACTAGTGTGGTAGAGTTGTCCCTATGAGCAAAAAGGCCTCTGCTCTCTGCTGCAGCTTTTTAGATCAAGGCACTTAGTATAAGTTTCTACTAAAAGCTAAAATCTATATTCTAAATCTATATTTCTATTTCACTTTGTGGCTTCATAAATCTCAGTTTCTGCAGGGGTTTCAGTTCAATCCCTGTGCCTGGATTTCCCTCTGGGCCTGTGCCCTGAGGAGCTTGAACTCCAACAGCCTGGGAGGAGGGATTGGGAGCCAGTGGGATGCTGTGGCTGGAATTCTGTCTGCAGGAGGGGTGTTGTGACCCCAGAGAGAACTGGAGAGTCACTGGCAATTTCAGCCTGGCTTTCCAAAGGAATGGGAGGGGTTGTAATTACTCTGCTTGTTCCCAAAATACTGCTGGATTGGGGCTGCTTTTGCTGTTCTTCCTTCTATGAGTCAGGATCAACCCCCAGGACAGGAACATCTCCCACCAGCCCCATCCAACCCAGCCTTGGCTCTTCCCAGTCTCTTGGTGGGACCACGGCCTGTGTCCTGCCAAAGAAGTTGTCAACTTAGCTCAACTTCCAGAGAAACAGAAAAAAAATGCGTGTTTGAGTCCAGATTTTTTTCCCTGAGGACATTTGGAGAGGGGTTGTGAGTGAACAGTGTCTGTGATTTAACAGGAGCAGCACGCACTGAGGTGCTTGGAAAGCCAGGCTCTCTCACAAAGTGCTTTCCCCTCATTTCCTCAGCCTGAATCATCCATTTCTCCCAGATTTCCCCAAAGTTTTCTTGCTTCTGGAAGCCCAGGCTTCCCTCAGCAGCTTGAGCTCCGTGCCTGAGGGATCTGCAGTGATTCATCAGGGAGACAAGGCATCCCAAACAACGCCAAGGTCAAACGCTCCTTAAGGAAAAACTATTTTGTGATGATTTGTAGCCATATCAGGGAAAACAGAGCTCCTACGTGGCTAAACCAGGCAAATCATAGATGGAGAAGGATTTCTTCCCATCACTCAGAGCCCTTCTCAAGCAAGCACCACACGCTTTACGTACTGTAACAAAATGTAAGTTTTATTCTGTATTATTAGTAATGGTGTGGAATAGCCACATTGAGTTGGACTGATGTCCCTTTCACTTTTGACCAGTGTTTCATATTCTAACTACAGCCCAGATGTAACATTTACACTGGAAAATACTTACAGATTCGACCTCATACTCCAAAAAATTTCTAGTACAAATACAGTTAGTACATTAAAAAAAAAAAACCAAAAAAACCAAAAAAAAAAAACCCAAAAAAACCCACCAATCCCAGACACTTTGTAACAGCACAAACTGGTTATGGCCTTGAGTTTAGTTCAAGTATTTCCCAGTGGAATGCAATGCAAGCATGAAGGTAATCTGGCTTTTGTGGGACATTCCAGGCCCTGAATGGTAAGAGAAATATAAGTGTGGGCACTTTATCTGACCAGTTTAATGAGAGAGTCAACATTTATGATTAGTTCAGCCACAAAGCTAAACCTGTCTTATGTGTGGACAAAACTGCTACCTGGAGAAAAGACAAAAATAAAAGTAAAGCATTAATTATACCATTGGCATTTCTTCCGAGGCTGATGCTCCGCCCTCTAAATGAATTTCCTGGAGCTGCTGCTTGAGTTAGGAACAATTGTGGTGGGGATTTTGCTTGTGGCTGTGAATATTTTGCTGCTCTATCCTTTTCCTGTCCCCACTGACTGGATAAAAGAAGGGACTGTTGCTCCTGCCCGGAAAGGAGTCATTCCTGCAGAGTCCTCATTGCATTTGTCACCATTGTGGCAGTGACTCAGTGGAGAAACCCAACATCCTAAAGGGTTTATAGGTCACAGAGTGGAGGAGGAAGGGGGGAAAGAGCAAATCAGTATACATAGCAATAATCATATTAATAGTAATAATCTTTTCTGTTCCTAGGGCTGTGTGTAGCCCAGATGGGATCTGGGAGAACTGGGATCCCTCCTCCCCAGGCTCAGAGGATCAGCAGTGTCCTCCAGGCTTGCTGGGACCTCACAGGCAACTTTGCATCCCTCCCAGGCACCCCTGACACCAGCTGGGAATACACCCCTGTTTTTGGTTCCCTGTCAAAACTCTTGGAAAACGTGGGAAAGCAGCACCAGTTCCCACTGGGAAGGGATGCTATGCAGGAAAGTACTCCAGGCCTGAGGGGTGAGCAGGGCTGGGAGTGGTCACCCCATCACCCCATGTCCCTGACTGACAAGGGGGTTATTGATCCCCCAAGAGTCTGCCCTGGCTCTGGTACCCATCAATATTGCAGTTATTGACTCTCCCTGCAGAAAACAGCGTGGGTGTATGAGATGTGAGGGTGACACCAGCTGGGGACAGGCTCCAAACCCTCTGCAGGACCCAGGGGTCACTCAGAGCCCCCCTTGGCTCACTGTGTGACAATAAAAAGGGGCTTTGAAGGACGGCAGGAAGATTCTGACTGTACAACCACGCATCTGGAGAGGGAAGGGCACAGGAAGAGGAGAAGGGAGGGAAGGTGACAGGAGGAGCAGCACTGCCACACTGCTGGGAAGACGTGAGGTGGCTGCTGTTGGTCCAAAGACCCCAGGGAAAACCACGCTAGAAAAGCAGCCCTTGCAGAAAGGTTGGTAGGACTGGAGGTGTTCAGCTTAAAGCAGATTTGAGGGTGAAAACAGTCTCCAAAGAGCCAAAATATGCAGAGGTTAAAGGCATGAGACTTCCCCATGTCTCCGTGGGGTTGCAGAGAGGGGGTTCATGTCACCCTTTAGGGAGTCATTTGATGGTGGCAAGTTGACAAGAAGATCCATGGTCTTTTTCCCACCCTGGTGCTCTGAAGCTGGAATCTTCTCCTGTGGGCACTGCTGGGGCATTGCTGGGGCAGCCCTGCTGTATGGACTGGGTTTAAGGAGTCCATCAGGTCTCTGTGACCAGGTTTGGGGGGTTTTAACTTAAAATCTGCTGTTCCCACAGCGAGGCATTAGCCAAGATTTTTTCCTGGAGCAAGAGCAAGGGAGTCACATTCCTGTTGCTGGTGTGGTGACTCAGGGGGGATCTGCAGGTCAGCAGGAGCTGAGGGGCAGATTTGAGTCACCAGGAAGTGCTCAGGCCATGAGTGGTGCTGAGGGAGGTGTCAGGAGAAACCCAAAATCCCAACTCCTGCACGGGGCGGTGCCTTCCAGCATCCTGTGGGAAGCACAAGTTTATCTGGGGCTCGGGTATTGTTGCTCATGGAAAAGGAATCAGAAGAACCCAGGCAGCATCCAGCCAGTTATCCTCAGAGTTTCCATCCCTCCCTTGGGATCACGACTTTAAATACACTCAGTTTCTCATGGGACACAGGGCTGGGAATAAAGGAGAAGTCCTACTGATGTAGCAGCTGCAGCAACCAGGGAACAAATTTGCACCCAGGATCACCTCTCTCTCCTCCCCAGCAGCCTGAAAACAGGTTTTTATTTTCCAGGTTTCAGCACCTAGCCTCTCCTGCCGTGCCCAGCACATCCCCAGCCAGCAGAGAGCACATTCCCACACAAGGGAGAAGGACAAACAGAGCAGTTGGATGTGTTTGTCTCCCCACCACCGTGGTGTGACCCTTCTGAGCCTTTCCTACAAAACTACCAGCAGAAGGGGATGGATGGATGGATGAATGGATGGATGGATGGATGGATGGATGGATGGATGGATGGATGGATGGATGATGGATGATGGATGGATGGATTGATGGATGGATGGATGATGGATGGATGGATGATGGATGGATGATGGATGGATGGATGGATGGATGGATGGATGGATGGATGGATGATGGATGGATGGATGGATGGATGGATGGATGATGGATGGATGGATGGATGACGGATGGATGGATGGATAGATAGATGGATGGATGATAGATGATGGATGGATGGATGGCACTGCTGGCTGCTGCTGTGCTGATCCTCCTGGATCCAGTTCCCCCTTTGTGAGGGAAAGGTCTCAAGCTGCAAGAGCAAACAGCATTCCATGCATTTTACCAATGCCTTCAGCAGCACCAGGAGCAGGCCTGGAAGCGTTCCCCAGACAGCTACACAAAGCCACAAAGCTGAATATTTGCTGCTGGATACCTCATAGGATGTTTCTCTGCTTTCCCTTTAATTCTACTTTTTTTGTTGTTGTTTTTTTACTTCCAGGACTGCTCTCTAATGCATCACACAGCTCGGCCTAAGTTCCCAGGAGATGAAGGGCATATCCAAATTCTCTGCCTGTTCCCAAAAATGGCCAAAGGGCTGGACACTTGGGGAACAGGCATCCTCAGGGCTGTTAGGGACTGATCTCAAGGACATGGGAGTGATGTCCAGTGAGAAGTCAGGAATATCCCATGGATAAGAAATCCTGGCACAGCCCAAGGGAACAGTTTGGCACAGGGACAGTGCAGTGCTCAGGGAGAAATTACTTCTTTTGCAATTGGTTTGATCTTGAAGACTCTGCCTACCTGGGTTGATGAAAACCACCCTCTGACAAGGAAGAGTATGAGCTTTGGAACTCAGCAGCTTGATTTTAATACACACCCAAAATACTGTAAGTGCACAAAAACCACCCTAAAGTCAAGCCCAGCTGAAAAAAAAGATTCCTCATAAACTCAGGAAAAACTTCCTGCTGTTATCCTGGTCCTGTCCCCACTGAAGCCAGACCTTCTGCAAAGCCCCCCCAGCACGTGTGGGAACCCTCCCAGTTCCCCAGGTGGGGCTGGAGGTTAAAAGCCCCAGGATGAGATCAGCCCCAGCCCCGGAGCAGCTGGGTTTTCTCAGGGGAGGTGGAAGGCTGTAGAAGGAGCAGAGGGTTGATATTACATTTACACCTAGCTCTCTACATCTACTTTCACACACACGTGGACACACACACACACCAGAGACTATGCATAGATCTGCCACCTGCCACTATTTATAAGGGTTTGATTAATCAGAAAAACAAATTTGTCAACAGCGCTTTTCCTCAATTAATCAGAAAAACAAATTTGCCGACACCAATCTTCTAAAATTCAGCAAGTAAAGGAGCCTCAACCCTTTACACTTTTGTTTTCCTGGTTGCATAAAGGCACTTTCTGATGATGTGAAGCAGCAGTTTGTTTAAAACTCTGTAACTGCAATAAATCCCATCACATCTGTAGCAAGTGCTACACAGGCACCAGTAGGATGCAATGTCACTGCTCGCTCCTGCTCTGGAGGGTTTGGAACAGATTTGCTTTTTGCTTTGATGCAGAGGAAGAAAAGATTAAACCGGTTTCAGGTCTCCCTGTGTGAGGCAGTCACTGTGTTCCTGCCCCAGACCTGATTTGGGTGCCAGCTCTGGCTCACAGCATCCAACGAGGCCTTCACTGGCATCTGCCAGCCCAGGCAGGCCATCAGCTGTGAGCCTGCCACCAAGGTCCCTGCAATATGTCAGCAGTTTTCTCACCAAAGGATCAGAAATTAACTTGATTAAGGGTGTTTAGTAATTAAACACTGCCTGGCCTGCAGCACTCGAGCCTTGCCATGCAGGAGGGTGCTGATCCCTGTCAGCCTCACTGCCCTCCTGAGCTGCCAGTAGCTCCTCTTCCCAGCACAGCTCATTGTCCAGTCTCTGCTGGGGGCTCCGGCACTGACCCAGGGGCTGGGAGGTCCGGGGGGTTTGCTGTTACTCACTGGGAGGTTCCCAGCTGGAGAACACCTCAGAAACAGGGAAAAAATGTCTCTTGTTAGCACAGTGGAAGACAGCACTAAATTGGTTCGAAACTCCCGTTACTCTCTTGACTTCCACACAAAAACCGTGCCCTGCGAAACAAACGCGAGACAACACCGAAAACCAGAAACAAACCGAAATAAAAACCCCGCTCACGCCGCCCTCTCGCCTTCCTGGCAGAGCTATATCCACACAGACGTCTTCCCATCTTTGCTGCTGGAGCTGCCTTTCTCCAGGGAGGCCTTGGGTTTAGCACCTTGTTTCTCCTGGGCGGTGTTGGCCCTGTTCTGCTCCACCACGGTGCCCCCCGAGGCGGGGCTGCTGGTCCGGGAGGGCTGGGTGTTGGCCTGGGTGCTGCTGTAGCTCTGGAAGGCGATGTCCAGCTGCTCCTGGGCCACCCGCAGGTGCTTGTGCAGCGTGGACAGATCCGCCGGCAGGTTCTCGTCGGGGCTGGTGCACTGCTGCTCCTGAGCCACGTTGGCCAAGTTCTGCTCGTGGGCCATCAGGCTGTTGGGGATCTTGGTGGACTTCTCGGATTTGACCACCAGGTTGTACTCGGGAGGGCAGGAGATGTTCTTGGGGTAGGCGTAGTTGTAGGGGGGCTGCCGGAAGCTGTTGATTTTCCGGTTGCGGATGGCGTCGCGGATGGTGCCGAATCCCAGGTGGAACATCTCGCACATGTTCAGCAGCAGGCACAGGCAGCTCACCACGTACATCACCAGGAGGAATATGGTCTTCTCCGTGGGCCGGGACACAAAGCAGTCCACGGTGTGGGGACAAGGGACCCTGTTGCAGACATAATAAGCTTCCACCTCGAAACCGTAGAGCAAATACTGCCCTATCAAAAAGCAAACCTCGAAGGAAGCCCGGGTGAGGAGCTGGAAGACGTAGATTTTCATCAGTCCCTCCTGCTGGATGCGCCTCCTCCCGTCGTGCTTCTGCTGCTCCTTGCACTTGGGCTTGGCCTTGGCCTTCTCGTGCTCGGCCGCGTCGTCGGAGATCATGGGCTCCTCCTCGTCGGCCTCCATGGCATCCTCCATGTTGCGCACGGCCTGCCAGTTCAGGGCAAACTGCTTCTTCTTCTTGAACCCCTTGAACTTCTTCTCCTCCTCGGCCGAGCGGGCGATCCTGTGGATGGCGTAGCCCAGGTACATGACGGAGGGCGTGGAGATGACGATGATCTGGAAGACCCAGAAGCGGACGTGCGACAGCGGCGCGAAGGCATCGTAGCAGACGTTGTCGCAGCCCGGCTGCTTGGTGTTGCAGGTGAACTTGCTCTGCTCATCGGAGTAGATGGACTCGCCCCCCACCGCCGTCAGGACGATGCGGAAGACGATGAGCACGGTGAGCCAGACCTTCCCCACGAAGGTGGAGTGATTGTGAATCTCTTCTAGCAGGCGGGTGAGGAAGCTCCAGCTCATGTTGGTCATAAGGGCTACTCAGTTATAACCTGCAGGGAGAGGGGGAAATAAAAACCAGCGCTGTGAGTGAGGTCACACCTCGTGCCAGCAGGAGGATCAGAGCAGTGACTGTCTTGTGTGCTGGGCATGGTGAGGCCACACCTCGAATCCTTGTGCCAGTTCTGGGCTCTCATCGAGAGGCTGGAGCAGGTCCAGAGATGGGAACGGAGCTGGGGAAGGGGCTGGAGCACCAGGAGAGGCTGAGGGAGCTGGAGAGGGGCTCAGCCTGGAGAAAAGGGGGATCAGGGGGGACCTTGTGGCTCTGCACAGCTCCTGACAGGAGGGGACAGCCGGGGGGGTCAGGCTCTGCTCCAGGGAACAAGGACAGGAGGAACGACCTCAATTAGCACCAGGGGAGGTTTAGGTTGGATATTAGGGAAAATTTCTCCTCTTAAAGAGTGGTCAGGGTTGGAGCAGTGAAGGATGCTCCCACATCACAGAGACTTGCCCTGCTGAAACTTCTTTCATTAGCAAACCCAGAAAAATGCAAAGAATCAGTGAAAGAATGGGAATATTTATGTTTACAGGCTGATGGCCCTTTTAAGTTCCTCTTGAAACAAAGCAAAACAAAACAAAACTTTAATCAAATACAGACTGTTTCAAAAATAAACCTTGAGAAGCTTTCAAGAGAAAATCACAGATTTCTTAGGAGACCTGGACAGCTGGGGAGGAAGAATTTGTAATAAGCATTTTGTGTTTAGCTTAACTTGCAGTGGGGCCTCAGCCCGAGTTCCTCGGGTGACCTGAGGCAGCACTAAAGACAAGGAGGCAATTTTACTGTTTGACTGGCCCAGATACTGAGAGATGAGAGCAATAGGGAAAGAACCTGCACCCAAAAAAAACAAACAAAAAGGAGAGGAGAGGAGAGGAAGAGGAGGGAAGGGAAGGGAAGGGAAGGGAAGGGAAGGGAAGGGAAGGGAAGGGAAGGGAAGGGAAGGGAAGGGAAGGGAAGGGAAGGGAAGGGAAGGGAAGGGAAGGGAAGGGAAGGGAAGGGAAGGGAAGGGAAGGGAAGGGAAGGGAAGGGAAGGGAAGGGAAGGGAAGGGAAGGGAAGGGAAGGAAGGGAAGGGAAGGGAAGGGAAGGGAAGGGAAGGGAAGGGAAGGGAAGGGAAGGGAAGGGAAGGGAAGGAAGGGAAGGGAAGGGAAGGGAAGGGAAGGGAAGGGAAGGGAAGGGAAGGGAAGGAAGGGAAGGGAAGGGAAGGGAAGGGAAGAGAAGAGAAGAGAAGAGAAGAGAAGAGAAGAGAAGAGAAGAGAAGAGAAGAGAAGAGAAGAGAAGAGAAGAGAAGAGAAGAGAAGAGAAGAGAAGAGAAGAGAAGAGAAGAGAAGAGAAGAGAAGAGAAGAGAAGAGAGAAAAGCTGTTTTCCTATGTGCAAGAAGTGTGGGCATCAACCATAACTCTCCATGCTGGGTGAGCATGGCTGAGTGGGGGTGAAGATCCAAGGCGGAAAATGATCATAAAATCTCCTAATCCTATAATTTTGGGGGTTGGAAAGGACCTTAAAGATCCTCTTGTTCCATGGGCAGGGACACCTTCCACTAGACCAGGTTGCTCCAGGGCTCACCCAACATGGCTTGGTGATGCCATGAGACACAAGCCTGGCCCTAACCTGGCTTTGCACCACTGGAGACACAAAATTTTGCTGTGGGGTTTCCGTGGTGGGAACAGCCACGAGCACAGCCCCACAGAGGAGCAGGAAGGGAAACGTGCCCCACTCTGTTCTCCACATCCAGCCCTTCTGGAATGTGATTCTGCTCCCGCTGCTTCCCAGGCCAGGAGCCAAGCAGAGCTGGTTTGCTCAGAGCTGGTTTGCTCAGCCCTGGTTTGCTCAGCCCTGGTTTGCTCAGCGCTCGCCGTGGCGCTGGCCCCGTCCAGGGCTCTCGAGAGCAGGCAGATGGAATTTTCTAACCCTGCTATTTCCAGATCAAACAAATCCCCTGTGAACACAAACCCCCAAGTCTTCACACGCTGGGCCGAGCCTGTGGGAGCGCTCTGCAGATGGTGCTATTCTTGTCCTGGGGCGGGGGAAACTGAGGCAGGGAGGGGACAAACAGCTGGGTCATAAACCAGAAGGAGAGGTGGGGAAATTCTCCTCTCTGCCCTCAACCCCCAAAGCTGCTGGGACCAGAATCCCCCTCTCCTGGCCCAAAAGCGATGCCTTGGTCAGTACAACTGTGCAGGTGGAACAATTCAGCCACTGCAGGAGATGGAAAGTGATGCCCACTGAGATATTCTTTATTTATTGAGGAAATTTGGTTTATTCAGGGGTGAGATGGGGACGTTCCCTCTTTGAGTGCCTTTTTTTGCTTCCTGACAGTGGGTACACCCTAAGGGGTATTTAACTCTTCCTCTGTGGTGTTCACATTCAGATATGAGCAAACTGAGGTGTTAAATGATTTGCAGAATTAATCCAGGCACTCAGCCAAGCTCCACTGCCGGGGGCTGGGAAGGGAAGACCCTGCTGGGTGTGGGGCATGGTGCATCTGTCTGTGGAGCATCCGGGTCTGCGTGAGGCAGGCTTGGATGCAGCCCCACCTTGGCTGGCCCCATGCAGGTGTCCAAGCCCCCCACCAGCTCCCATCTGCACCCCAAATTAACTGCAAGTCCCAAATTGTTCTTAAAAATGCACTTTGAATGTCCTGTAGAGCAGTTTATCCCAATTTCAGTGCTGCCCTAAAGGGTTTCTGAAGCCTACACCGAGGATAATTCACCATTTTGCAAGTGTTACTCATGGACGCAATTCCCAAAGCTCCAGTGCACCTCCCAGGAGCTGTGTACTGGGGCAGGGAGGGTCTGACCAAGGTTTTTACAGCTTTTGGAGTAAATATTCAAGTTTTGAACTGGTATTTATCAGGGATGTTAGCAAAGCACCCCCTGTCTCCTCTAGGAGACACATTTTAGAAAGGAGAGCCCAATGAAGTGCTCCCAGATCTCCCAAGCCAAGAAAAAGGAAAGAAATTATAAAATAACAGAAAAGAAAAGTGACAGGTTGTTGCTTTGAGAAGACCACCCCTGGCTACCAGCCACCACTCTGAGCCGTGGGTCCTGCCCCTGCCGCTGCTGTTGAGCCCTCTGTGCACATCTGGATCTGCAGGAACATCTGCAGGAACCCTGAGCTGTTCCTGCGCCCCTGGGACCCCAATGCATGGGGTCACACCTTAGTGCTGCAGCCCTGTGTGTCCACCTGCCCTCCTGGCATTGTATCCGAGAGCAGGAACTGAAGGAAATGAGTAAAAACCCCTCTCTACAAACCAGTTTAGTTAAACTTCTACGAAGACCAAACTGTGGGATTTAAATGCTCTAAATTGCTTGGGTGGGGGGTTTGTGCACCATGATGTTTTGGAATCAATTATAAATAAAACGAGCTTCCAAGGAAAGACTTGTTCACAAAGCAAGACTGTGACTAGGAAAAGGCTGTGTCTCCTCTTCTCACAATCCCAGCCATCAAAGCACAGAACACAGATTTTTGCAACTTTCCACCTGCTACAGACCCAATTCCTCGGTGCAGTGTGAAAGTTATACAGTCTGGGTAAAAAACCCCCAAAAACATCTGTGTGGATCTGCAGCAGGTAGAGGGATCAGGTGAGGTGCAGATTAAACTTCTACAAAGACCAAACTGTGGGATTTCAGTGCTCTAAATTGCTTGGGTGGGGGTTTTGTGCACCATGATGTTTTGGAATCAATTATAAGTAAAACAAACTTCCAAGGAAAGACTTGTTCACAATGCAAGACTGTGACTAGGAAAAGGCTGTGTCTCCTCTCCTCAAATTCCATCAAAGCACAGAACACAGATTTTTGCAACTTTCCACCTGCTACAGACCCAATTCCTCGGTGCAGTGTGAAAGTTATACAGTCTGGGTAAAAAAAAAACCCAAAAACATCTGTGTGGATCTGCAGCAGGTAGAGGGATCAGGTGAGGTGCAGATTAAACTTCTACAAAGACCAAACTGTGGGATTTCAGTGCTCTAAATTGCTTGAGTGGGGGTTCATGATGTTTTGGAATCAATTATAAATAAAACAAACTTCCAAGGAAAGACTTGTTCACAAAGCAAGACTGTGACTAGGAAAAGGCTGTGTCTCCTCTCCTCAAATCCCATCAAAGCACAGAACACAGATTTTTGCAACTTTCCACCTGCTACAGACCCAATTCCTCGGTGCAGTGTGAAAGTTATACAGTCTGGGTAAAAAAAAACCCAAAAACATCTGGGTGGATCTGCAGTAGGTAGAGGGATCAGGTGAGGTGCAGATTCATGCAGCTGAATCATCTCCCTGAGAAAGGACTCCCCGTCCCTGTGGCTTTGAAATCCATCCATTCAGTCATCCCTCATCCCATGCCACCTCCAGAGGTGAATGAAACACACACAGGCTACGAGCTACACTTCAAAACAGCTACAAAGGAAGGATTGGATTGCTCAAAGCACCACCAACTCCTAAAGTAATCAAAACAACCCCTAAAGTAATCCGAATGAGATGTTGGCTCCACATTCTCACCACAGTGACTTCCCAAAACACACTGACCCCTCCCCACAGTCGCAAGCACAGCTGTAGGAACTGGGAAAACTTTAAAAACCGAGTCTAAAACACGCCAAAGAATGAAAAAAAATAGAAATCAGCGCTAGCTGGATGCCCTTCCATTCTGCACGCTTCTCGGGGAAAACAACGATGGGGGTGGAAAAAAATCAACTTACAGAGACATGATGCTTCTCGCGGTGGCTTTCCCTGCTCCACCGACATTCCAGTGCCTCCGATGCCTCCGTTTTGCCCTGGATAAAGCCGCAGCAGCTCTGTCCTGCCGGGCTCCAGCGCGGAATTTAAAGCGCTCAGACCCCGCCTTTGCCGGTCCCCGACCCTCCTGCCCCTCGGGAGAAGATGGGAAGGTGCTCCACAGACACGCCAGGAGAAGGGAAGCATTGGTTTTTAAATCCAAACAAGCCGCCGGGTCTGGTTTTAGGAACGCTGCCTGGAATTTTTTGCTGCCGAGCCCTTTGTGTCGG